TATTACATATTCCAGTAACATATTACCTCACAGTAAGATATACATTATTATAATACCATTATACATTACTATTACATATTCCAGTTACTAATTACCAGGGCCTCACATATTAGATCCTCTACAATAACACATAACACATCCCCTACACACTCCACTCCCTGTGAGCGAACTCATTGGTGGGTGGAACTTATGAGTGGGCCTTATGGGCATACTCACCGTCAGGCCCTGGGGCCCAGACCTTGAGCTGTGTAAGGCGCCCCCAAATAATTGAGCTGCTTCCAATTCTCCCAGAACATTGAATTTTGTGACCACAGTTGCAAACAGCCTCCAGAGATCCTGTTCTACTCCAGACCAGTGGAGCCAAACTGCAGCCCATCATCATCCTCATCTGCTTGTAGGTAGGCAATCTAGTATATTATTAGTGACACTAATCTATAATTTACCTCACATTAAAGGGACACTATAGCTTAATGAAGTGGTTCTGGTGTCTATAGCTGGTCCCTGCAGGCTTTTTAATGTAAACACACACTGTGTGCAGCACTGGCGTTAGTTCATATGGCAGATCATATGGGTGGGGCATTGTGATGTGACATGTGGGGCAGCAAATTTTTATTTTGTCTAGGGCGGCAAAAATCCTTGCACCGGCTCTGATCCTGGGCAGGTGCACCAGTCTACTTGACTGGTTTTGCCCCCCAGGCCTAAGGCTGCCAGCCCTCCCCTGGCCGCTGGGGAGGTCTTTTGGCGGCCGCTGGCGGACTTGTCCTGGCGGCCGCTGGCGGACTTGTCCTGGCGGCCGCTGAGGGAGCTGCGCGAGCTGCGCTGGCTCTGCTCCCCAGCACGCAGCTGAATGAGACCAGCGCCGGAATATGACGTCATATTCCGGCGCCAGTCTCATTCAGCAGCGCGGGAGGGCACTAACACAGGAAGCACCTCTAGTGACCGCCTGAGTGACTGTCACTAGCAGTGTCACTTTGAAGCAATGTAAACACTGCCTTTTGTCTGAAAAGTCAGTGTTTACGTTGAAAAGCCTGTAGGGACATGCTATGACACCAGTACCACCACATTAAGCTGTGTGTGTGCGTCTGCTAGTGAGTGAGCTTGTGTTTTTATGTCAATGAGCTGATGTATATCAGTAAGATTGTTTGTCTATGAGGCTGTGTATCAATGAGTTTGTGTGTGTCACTGAAATGTCAGTGAAATTGCCTGTGTCTGCATGTGCGTATGCTTACTGTATAATTAAACGTTTTACCCTGAAAGGACCAATATTTTATATTAGAAAAAGCAATATATATATATATATATATATATATATAATTACTCAATCATCTGTCCTGGCCAGACATAGCCTTACATATTACACGCGACAATATATGGCGCCGTGACTTATGGGGCTGGCACAAATTTTTTTTCCAGGGCTGCTTTGTATCCCCAGTCCGGCCCTGCTAATTACCTCACAGTAAGATATACAGTATTATAATACCATAATACATTAATATTACATATTCCAGTAACATATTGCCTCACAGTAAGATATACCATAATACATTAATATTACATTTTCCAGTAACATATTACCTCACAGTAAGATATACATTATTATAATACCATTATACATTACTATTACATATTCCAGTTACTAATTACCTCACAGTAAGATATACAGTATTATAATACCATAATACATTAATATTACATATTCCAGTAGCATATTACCTCTCAGTAAGATATACATTATTATAATACCATTATACGTTAATATTATATTCCAGTAACGTATTACCTCACAGTAAGATATACATTATTATAATACTGTGATAAAGTGAAGGCAGATAGTCCTATAACATTTAACCCCAGGGGGAGTATGTGTTGTATGTGTGGTGTCCAACACAAAGCTATGTTTAGTTATGGGCCCCTGGGGTGGAGCATTTGGAGAGCAGGGTGGGCCAATGCTCCACTCCTCAGTTTATACACAACTGGGAGAAATAAGGTCCAGGCCAGAGTTTTTTGGAACTGTCTCCAACCCACTGCTCAGCTGCAGATAATCAGCTGTAGCAGTGGGAATAAACCCCTCTCTGCTAGGCAGGTAAAGGGGGATTGCTGGCTTCCTCCCTGGAAGCAGGTAGGAGAGATGCTGTTCTCTCCAGTGAGAGAGTCAAGGAGACTGAGCACTGGGAGTGCAAAAGGAAAGCAGTCAAGGCTGGCTTGGAGCACTGGGAGTGTGGAAAAGAGAGAGAATTCTGTTTATTTCTAGAAGGAATTGAAGCCACATGCTAACCGAGTGTGGAGTGCAGAGATCTGACAAAGGCAATAGGTTGGTGAACCCAAATATTATTTTGTTCTAGTTTAACCCCTGAGAGAGAGGGAATCTGATGTTAGTTAGCACTCAGACGAGCTGGGCTTTTGTTTATAGGGATTTGTGTTATTGTTGTTGTTTTTTTTATTTGCTGCTGTAGCTGTGGTGGAGTTTAACAATAAAACTGCCTGGATTATATGCAAACCAAAGGACTGTGCCTGTTGTTTACCCTAGAGGACCGTGCTACCTGCAGACAAGGATCACAATACCATAATACATTAATATTACATATTCCAGTAACATATTACCTCACAGTAAGATATACCATTATACATTATTATTACATATTCCAGTAACATATTGCCTCACAGTAAGATATACCATAATACATTATTATTACATATTCCAGTAACATATTACCTCACAGTAAGATATACCATAATACATTAATATTATATTCCAGTAACGTATTACCTCACAGTAAGATATACATTATTATAATACCATAATACAGTAATACTACATATTCCAGTAACGTATTACCTCACAGTAAGATATACCATAATACAATAATATTACATATTCCAGTAACATATTACCTCACAGTAAGATATACAGTATTATAATACCATAATACATTAATACTACATATTCCAGTAACGTATTACCTCACAGTAAGATATACAGTATTATAATACCATTATACATTAATACTACATATTCCAGTAACGTATTACCTCACAGTAAGATATACAGTATTATAATACCATTATACATTAATATTACATATTCCAGTAACGTATTACCTCACAGTAAGATATACAGTATTATAATACCATTATACATTAATATTACATATTATATTAAAGTCTTCCTCATTGTAAGTAGTCACACTATTTTAGAACGGTTTGACTTCTTACTTGGGACCCACTTTGTGCTGGTAACATCTTGTCCGATGATACGGTGGGGGACAGCTTAGCTCAGAGCAATCAGCTGACACTGAATGCTGTGGTGGTTATGGTTCCTTTAACATGTTACATATGATGCTACCATGCTCTGCCCATGGCTCGATTTCCAGCCGGTTTCTCTCTAGTTGTCTTCATCAAGCAATCAATCATGATACAATTTTGATTTCAATTTATATATTTATCCTATCAACAGATCTTTCTCAGGATAACACAGACAGGATTATTCAGGGTTATTTACTAAAATGAGAATTCTTGGTGAATTTCCAAAAATTTCAAAACATGTAAAAATACTTACTTTGAAAAACTGATCTTAAATTCCTACTTTAGAAAATAGCCCTGCCAGTTTGTCGCAGCCGTCAAATCGAACCCTTATTCTCTACCTGTTGCATTTCATATGAAAGCCATTTTTTTTATATTTATGAGATATATTGACACCCTTAGGAAACATCAATGAATGGAGAAGAGAGAGCAGGTCTAAATGAGAAATTTTAATCCAAGGGATTTATCAAGGAAAAGGAAAGTTGTGCAGAATTGACTAAGGAATTGCAAACTTTGGACAAATAACGCCAGCATTGAAAAACAGCTGACCTTGAGAAGTTCTGCAATTTGACTATTTTTGCTGAAGGTTTGCAATTCTCTGCCAATTCTTTACGACTTCTTGTTGAGTGAATGAGCCACAAAGAGGCAAGAGAAGAGAAGCAAGGTCTCACCCAAGTTCAATGCACACAGTAGTATGAAGTATCCCTTGGTGGCTCCCATTGCGATGGAAGATGTCTGCTGTTCTTGCAGAGTGCCGTGTGGGTCCCTTGGTAAAAGGAACTCCCCTCCTCTCCCAGTCCAACCTGCAGGGCAGAGATAAGGCCTATCTGCCATTTAACTCTCCGTGTTTGCACGTTAGTGCACTGTGGATTGGTAAAAATGAACCCTTTTTACGTGCACTAGCAGCTCAAATGACAAAATAACATTTTAAGAGCAAATTAAACTTTATTCTTTAAACTAGGGATGGGCAAGTGAGCTGCAAAAAGCTGAAATGAAAATATAGCTGAATTTATGTAATGCTCCAGTGAAATTTAAAATTTAATGTTAATTTCTGACAATTCACACTATAGTTACTAACTCTGACAAGGTTATTCATTAACCTGCAGATAAAAAAAAAGATCCTGAAACATAGAAAATGAAAACAATGATAGGCAAGACGACAATAACGCACCTGAACGCAACAGATGCAATGATAGCGCAGCGAGATCCTGGCAGGGAACGTTTAAATAGCATTGTAACGAACGCTGGTATTGCAGATACCCCCTCCACTGTTTCCTCTCGAACGGCTAGAGGCTGAGTGATTATAGCTCGCAGTTCGGGTGTTGATTCGAACGTTTTCCAGACAAAGTACAGCATCCAAGTATATTCTCCCAGCAAATCAGATGGATACCCAAACATCAGCCTAGTCTAGACTAGATGACTAGGAACAGTTTATTCAGGATAACTGCCTGGTTTATATGGAGTTACAAATGTACAGGGTTAACGGTGACATATTCCAGGGGTATTCCCCACTGGACCTGAGAGGGGACGGTGACATACATTCTGCAGTTACATTGGCTCTCAGGTCCAGGACACTCCTATACTCCTACAATAATATAGTCCTTTCCCTGTGCCTGGGAGATAATTGAGTCAAGCACTATACTAAACTCAATTATCTCCCAACACAAAAAACACACATTTCCACAAAACTCAGAAAGTACCCCAAACTCCATGGAAACCCCACAAGTTATATCCCCTGATAGCTCTGATCTGGGGAACCAACATTTTCAAAAATCACCCAGATCAGTTCAGGGATCCGGGAGTTCCATGGAAGTCTTAATTTGTCTGACCGCACACGAGACACCTGCCCAGACAGAGTTTCATGAAATTAGGATGTGCGGTCGGTCTAATCCACAAACGGATCCCCCTGGCTCATAGGTAGCGTTTGTTCCCCTAGTTCGTTGGAACAAACTTACTGAATAGCGATCTCCTGGCTGGTCGGTGAAAAGAAGCAGGCGTTCGTGAAGTTGACCGGTGTTCAGGAAGTCAAGTGTCCGATTTTAGTTCCAGACACTCAACGACCAAGTCCCGCTGTCTCCTTTCGTGCGACCAAGATGGCCGCAGTTTTCTCCCGCACATGGCTTCGGCTATACGAACGGCAGCCACACAGAAAGAACCCTTAATTGGCGGTCTTCTTTGAAGATAATGAGCCAGGGGGTGGTCGGTGTTTGGTAGTTTAAAAAAAAAAAAAGACACAGCACCAAGACCACTTCAATAAGATGAAATAGCCTGGATGCCTATAGTGTCCCTTTAAGTCTTTTAAAGTGTGTAGGTTAGCAGTCTTTGAATCTCTTGTTGTTTTGGATAATAAACCACATCACCCACAGCCATCCTGCTTGATCTACACTGCATCTTAATTAAAGTGGTGCACACTTCTAGTTTTACCTATTAAACCTGTGAGCTTGCAATAAGTAGACACAGGGTCTGGTTACTAATAGTTCTGAACAGACCCTGAGGAGCCAGGCAAGGCCTAGGCAGGAACAGCAACATGTGAGTGTGTACAGAGGAATGTGGTAAAGTGGTTTTGGATGTTGGTGGAGTAGTAGGTGTGACAAACTCCCCTCTCCAAGTGAGTTTGCCATGAGCTCCTGGAGGAACCTGCTTGCCAGCCTCCTGCCCACAGACTATGGGTCCTGCAGGGAAACCTGTAAAAGACTACGGAACTTGACAGACTGACTGCTAGCACTGATTTCATTGAACTGTTTTGGGCATGGGGCCATGCATGTTGGTCAAAACTATGACTTCCAGGATATTCCTGAACCCCTGTACCGATCTCGGTGATTTTTGGATATGTTGTTCACCCAGATCGGGGCTATCAGGGGATGTAACATGTATGGGGTACTTTTAGGACTTATTAGAGGTGTGTGTTTTTTCTTTGCTTGGAGATAATTGGATTAGAATCAGTGCAGTTACTGATCCAATTATCTCCCAAGCAGAGGGGAGGGATTGTGTGTCATAGGTGGGAGTGCCTTACGTTGTAAATGTGTTATTATTGATTTGTAAGTTTGTGTCCCTGTCCTCAACAAGGTCCATGTGGGCGTACCCCTTGCTTGGGGACTTGCATAAAAGGCCAGTGTGCCTCCATTAAAATCTATTCCAGCTTACACTCCAAAACTGTGTGTCGTCCTGTTATTGGAGGGAAAGAAGATTTCTCCTGTGTCTGCTCTTCCAGCTAGCAGGGGATTCAACGGGGAAAGTCATTGTAAGGACTAGAGATAATTCCCCATTTGGCTCCAGGAAGGAGCGGTTCCAGGGCCCCAGTCAAGCCACGGCGACTGTGGACAGAAGTGCTGCGGTTTGTCCCCTGTTCCAGCTATGAAGCGGTCCTTGGCGGAGGTACCCAGCCGGGGTACAGGGAGCTCCGCTACAATAGGGTAGGATGGGTAGGCTAGTATAAATAGGTTGCCATCTTACAGTATAGCAGCCATCTTAATTATCAGTTGGGAACAGCTTCCCGCCCTCCCTTTAATTGTTTTATGTCTGTTTGTCTGTATGTTTTGTTTGTCGCAGCTTGTTTGCCCAGAAGGCGTGGTGGAAGCCCAGTGGGCATTGTGTGAGCCCAGCGGGCTATATGGGTGCCTAGTGGGTATGTGGGAGCCCAGTGGGCTTGTGGATGCCTAACCGGCGTGTGGAGTTATATGGCCCTTGTCAACCGGGGGTTGGACCAGCGGTCTGTGGGAAGTGGATGAGTAGGGCTGTCCCTCCCCTAACCTCAGGTACAGTGACGGATAACTGACATGCTCACTGGGCCAACTAACCGACTAGTGGTTAGCATTACGCAATGGAAGGCCCAAGAAAGGCCTTGTACTGATTGGAACGAGGGGGGACGGGACAGCTGCCCTAAGTTATGGTTGGCTGGCAAGGTGGTACTCATCTATTTACTGAGTAATTACGTATATAGTGTTTTATGTTATAATGTTGAAGTTTAAAGATTTATATATTTATATTTTAATAAAGCTGTGGCCTATTTTAATCCAAAGCAAAGTCTGGTGTGTTTCATTGGAGCAAGGTTGGGGTTTATCAAGGGTCAGGTTTATGCCCATACACAGTTATCCTCTACCTATGCACATGTAGTGACAAAAACCTCAACCATGCCACATGTTGTGCCGATATGTGCTTCCAGCTAGACTGGGCCCTCGGCTCACACTCTTTATCTTAGGACTTGGCATTTGAGGGAGTATTGCCTTATATTCTGTTCCATACCATGTTTAAGAAGTTTTGAATTAAAGGATCACTATAGTGTCAGGAACACAAACATGTATTCCTGACCCTATAGTGAAAACCCACCATTTAGGTTTCCCCCCCACCCCCCTTCTTAGAAGGGGTTAAAACTTACCTTTTTCCATTAAGCTGTAGTTGTTTTGGTATCCCTTTAAACTGACATCTTATGTTTGTTCTCCGTTTACCATAGCTCTCCCCAGGTGTAAGAGATGCTGAGGCGTGTTCCAGGCATGTTGTTTTGTAATTGTTTTAATGTGTGGAGTGTCTCTGGCTCTGTCAGTTTGCCTCTAAGGTTTTCCATAGCCTTTTCATGTCTCAGTATATCATAATGTGATTATTTTTTTTTAACAGCGGACGTTCTTAATATTCTTGGTTGCTTTTATACGTAACTAGAAACTAAAAACATTGTTTCACTTACCTATTAACTGTTACTGCATTGACAGACTATGTTTAACCTGTGTAACATCAGATCCATTGATTAAACTAAATGAAAAAAAGATTCAAAGTTGATATATTATCTCACATTAAACACTGTTATTTGAGAAAAGAAGTAGATACATGGTATGACCTTCCAGCTGATGGGGGAGAGGTAAGTACAGTAAGGGAATGTAAACATGGTTTAAGTACAAGGTTATTAAAATGAAAACACTATTCCAAGGTCCCAATAACACGGCAGTTTATGACCACGTGTGTGATAACTGTATGTCCCAGAGTGGAGACGGTGCAGGCCACGTATAGTCCTATTGTAGAAGCTGTGATGGCCATTAAAGGTCTTAATGTGGAGGCTCTGTTTGCCATGTAAAGTCTCTGTGACGGTTGAAAAGGCCACATGAAGTCTTAGTTTTAATGTAGGGGCTGCTAAGGATACATGATGTCTTACTGTTTGGAGGCTGTGTTGACCACATGACGTCTTACTGTTTGGAGGCTGTGTTGACCACATGACGTCTTACTGTTTGGAGGCTGTGTTGACCGCATGACGTCTTACTGTTTGGAGGCTGTGTCGACCACATGACGTCTTACTGTTTGGAGACTGTATTGACCACATGACGTCTTACTGTTTGGAGACTGTATTGACCACATGACGTCTTACTGTTTGGAGACTGTATTGACCACATGACGTCTTACTGTTTGGAGGCTGTGTTGACCACATGAAGCCCTACTGTTTGGAGGCTGTGTACTCTTTGGAGACTGTGTTGACCACATGACGTCTTACTGTTTGGAGGCTGTGTTGACCGCATGACGTCTTACTGTTTGGAGACTGTGTTGACCGCATGACGTCTTACTGTTTTGGAGGCTGTGTTGACCACATGACGTCTTACTGTTTTGGAGGCTGTGTTGACCACATGACGTCTTACTGTTTTGGAGGCTGTGTTGACCACATGACGTCTTACTGTTTTGGAGGCTGTGTTGACCACATGAAGCCCTACTGTTTGGAGGCCGTGTACTCTTTGGAGACTGTGTTGATCACATGAAGGTCTTACTGTGATATGCTGGCCATAGGAGGTCATAGGGAGTCCATTAGAGACCCATGAAAACTAATACAAACAGCAATAATAAATTTTTTCAGGTCAAAGTCCAGTAAATGCATGTCCCTTCATACTGTATTGGATGATTATACATTGTTCTCACTGAAACCAGTGCTGGGCACATTATACCCCAATATATGTAGAGGGCATAATTGTTCTTTGCCCTGTCAGGAGCCATCAGATTGCTGCTCCGTCACTTTCAAATTGTCCTCTTCCTTAAGTCTTCTTACCAGAAACTGTTTGTCTAGAATTTGCTAACAAGATAAAAAAAAAATATATATGATTATAATATAATATCGGACACACTACGGTCTATTACAAACCCCCCACAAATCTTACATAGGACAAATTATCCTTCAGTTTATCAATCATCTGTTCATACTGACGGACATTGGAGAAGTACGACGTGAGCGTAATGCTACAAGAAAAGGGAAGGAGAATGTGACATAATGGTGATAGCGGTAATTCTGTCATTACAAAATATTTTTACATCACATACTGTTAGATTTGCTCATTTACTAACATGCAGCTTCCAAGGTGGAGGAAGTCAGTACAACGTGTTGATACAGTAAGCAAAGCAAGCTATCTTATCTGTCGTTATAACATGTTTATCGTGTATCAGATCTGCTGAGTTATTGGAAAAATGATAATTCCGCTTTAAAAAAACCTTTAGGATTTACATGATTCTACTAAATTATTGTCTTACCTGAAGACAATGAGAAGAGTAAAAGGAAAATAGGTTGATGTGATGTAATTTACGATTGTATTGGTCCCTGGAGACAGCGATGACCACATACTGTGCTGGACGGACTCCCACTGTGTGCTGTGATTTGTAAACAGGCCGCAGGTTCGAGATGGACGGACACTGCTCAAAAAAGAAAACCAGGTTTGGATATATTTATGGAGATGTATACGTTCATCCTCATATCTTAACGATCAGACGCAGTTCAAAATACAAGATGCAAAAATAGAGGAAAGTCAGAATGTAACAACTATAATAGCTGATATCACAAGAATTAGCCATTACCAGCCATAACCATTAGATGCACCGACTGGCCCCACATACTCCGAGGAACTGACCAAGGCAGGGAGTGCAAGGGGGCACAGAGATAGGGACGGGAAGAGCTATGCAGTAATGCAGCATGCTGTAGTGGATATGGTGCTTATTGTGTTCTATATTGTGTTGTTAAAACGTTACTAAAAGCAACAATACCACTTTAGCTGAATGAAGTGGTTTTGGTGTATAGATCAGCCCCTGCAGTCTCACTGCTCAATTGTTTCTTTCCATGCTACATTTGCCACACCTTCCTGACTCGCACAGCCTAAATGAAAAATAAATATTTAATTTTCAATCAAAACTAGCAGCACAGTGTATTTACTTTAGAAGTCTTTATCTCCTGCTCTGTCAATTGAATCACACACACACAGGAAGCTACTGCAGGTTCTAGTATGCTATTAACAGAGCAGGTGACAAGAAATACTAAATTAAACAGACAATAAAGGAAGTGTAAGCTTTAGATCTCTCTTTACAGGAAGTGTTTAGGAAGGCTGTGTAAGTCACATGCAGGGAGGTGTGCCTAGCGCTGCATAAACAAAGTGATTTAACTCCTAAATGGCAGAGAATTAAGCAATGAGACAGCATGGGCCTGATCTATACACCAAAACTGCTCCATTAATGAACCCTGGAAAATCAGAATGTGAGAGATGAGACAAGGAACGCCCTGTTTTTTAATTTTTTTACATTGTCTGAAAGTTTCTGTAATAAACAAACATTGACTCACATTTTACAAAACTCTTTCTCCTTCCAGGGAGGATTTACACCCCCTCACATAAAAACGCACTGCATCCACTCACACAGTTCTATTCACACTTACCGCATCCACTCACACGGTTTTATACCCACTCACTGCGTCCACTCACACGGTTCTATTACCACTCACTGTATCCACTCACACGGGTCTATTCTCACTTACCGCATCTACTCACACTGTTTTATACCCACTCACTGCATCCACTCACACGGTTCTATTCCCACTCACTGCATCCACTCACATGGGTCTATTCTCACTCACTGCATCCGCTCACACGGGTCTATTCTCACTCACTGCATCCACTCACACGGTTCTATTCCCACTCACTGCATCCACTCACACGGGTCTATTCTCACTCACTGCATCCACTCACACGGTTCTATTCCCACTCACTGCATCCACTCACACGGTTCTATTCCCGCTCACTCCCTACACACACCATCCACTGACATTGCTGTGTTCCTGCCTACTCACCACACACACACATCAGTTCTTCACGTGACTCTACTCAGCTAGTGCGTTCTCCCAGGCCGTCCACACTCACTCACCTGGTCACCATATAAATCAAGGGACAATAAGTTGTTATCAGTCCGAGCAGCAGGACGAAGTAAAAGAGGATCCTGGAGGAGGACACACGGAATAACTTCTGGGACGCAGCGCAGAGCCGGTAAAGAGAGAACTGCGGAAACACAGAATATTTAGACTGTGCGTCAGGAGAGACATCCCAGGTCTACATCACACTCTCTGGATTGAGACCTTTCCTTATACTGTGAAATGTCAGTGAACGTCTTAATTAAATCAGAAAAAATACATTGTGTTGTGTGCATGAGTAGGGACTAGGCCTAGGGTGGCACAATAGTAAATAAATATTACATCTGACGACTATTGCTGTTCACCCTCGGCCTGTGCCCTGACACCCAGCACCTAAAACAGGCTCTTGGCACAAATTATCCACTCAGTGCCCAGATCTGGGTTTCAGTACTTCACTTACTGCAACGTTATTGCAGCCCGTGGAGGTTTCTAGCAGTAACCCGGCCGCTGGTTCCTTCCCTGCTGGGTTCCTCGGTTCTTCTGTGATTCTAATATAGTTTTTCTAGTGTTCTGCCTATACTTTGTATTACTGCAGTCCTACTACTCTGCACTCTGACCCCTGGCCTGACTGGACTCCGTCATTGGGTCATCCCTGTGAACCATGCCCATACTGAGGTCTCTCTGCACTCTAAGCCCTGGCCTGACCTGACTCTGTTATTGGGTCGCCCCTGGGAACCGTGCTTAGACTGAGGTCTCTCTGCACTCTAAACCTTGGCCTGACTGTACTCTGTTATTAGGTCGCCCAGTGAACCGTGCTTGGACTGAGGTGTCTTTACACTCTAAGCCCTGGCCCGACTGGATTTTATTATTGGGTCGACCCCCGGGAACCGTGCTTGGACTGAGGTCTCTCTGCACTCTAAACCTTGGCCTGACTGGACTCTGTTATTAGGTCGCACTGTGAACCATGCTTGGACTGAGGTGTCTTTACACTCTAAGCCCTGGCCCGACTGGATTCTATTATTGGGTCGACCCCCGGGAACCGTGCTTGGACTGAGGTCTCTCTGCACTCTAAATCTTGGCCTGACTGGACTCTGTTATTAGGTCGCCCCGTAAACCGTGCTTGGAGTGAGTTGTCTTTGCACTCTAAGCCCTGGCCCAACTGGATTCTATGATTGGGTCGACCCCTTGGGAACCGTGCTTGGACTGAAGTCTTTCTGTACTCTAAGCCCTGGCCTGACCGGACTCTGTCATTGGGTCATCCCTGTGAACCATGCCCAGACTGAGGTCTCTCTGCACTCTAAGCCTTGGCCTGACTGGACTCTGTTATTAGGTCGCCCCGTGAACTGTGCTTGGACTGAGGTGTCTTTGCACTCTAAGCCCTGGCCCGACTGGATTATATTATTGGGTCGACTCCCGGGAACCGTGCTTGGACTGAGGTCTTTCTGCACTCTAAGCCCTGGCCTGACCGGACTCTGTCATTGGGTCATCCCTGTGAACCATGATTTTAACTTTTATTTTTGCTTGTTGCTAGGGTAGGTGTCATTGCAAGACATCTACCCTCTGTGTCGACAGGTACACACAAATCCTCAGTCACCTTTTTAACGTAGAAAGTGATGATGAGAAAGATGATGTTCAGCAGTGGAAGAAGGGGGGCATACAACAGACCACCCCACACCAATGTTTGTCCATACACGGTATCCAGGACATTCTGGGGCAGATGGAATTTCTCCTTGCCAAGCCAAACAATCACACTCAGTTTGACCCGTGATACCAGGAAACTGGGGGAGACAAGAGTTGCCATGGCTTTAAAAAAGACCAAGAAAGTGTAAAGGGTCAGAGCGGCACAGAAACCCACGCTTTACATAATAAGAAGACACTTCCACTCAAGAACTACTCCATGCACCAGAACCACTACAGAGTGCTGGCACCCCCTGCACTGTAAGTTAACTGTTAACTGGCTGCTGCTGCTCTGCATCGAATGCTTTCTGACTGACGCTCTCACCCAATGTAGGACTTATCTGAGGAGATATAACGGGCCCTTTTGCTTCTTCATACTGGCAGCGAGCGGTGCCCGATGGAACCCGGGTTAAAAAACAAACTGTTAGCAAACGGTTTGACTACTTATACTGGTATAGTTGCCAGGACACCCTGCCACTGTGACAACTGTAGAGTGCTGCAGTGGTTATGGTGCTTGGAGTGTTTTTTTTTTTTAAACTGTCAATTAATGGGAAATTAGTAAAAACCGATATGAGAGGATGGGTCAGAAGCATTTACCGTGACGATGGCCAAATAGGTCAACAGGACAAAGAGAAATATTATTTTGATAAGTAGTCATTATTTGGAATGGACAGTCTGGGCCATATACTTTTATCCTGTAGTGTATGGTGGACATTAATGGGAATGGTCCGTGCTTCACATCGTTAGACAGGTGATCAGTCTGTCCTACCTGCGTGGAACTTGGAAAACCAAGAAATCCATTATGAAGTACAGGAAGTGGAAGAGGCTCAGTTTGTAAAACTCCTGTCCCACCGATGTCTCCCAGCACTGAGGGAAAAACAAACGATTCATCGCAGTCACGTGTCCACCTCAAACTGGATATAAACCCTGGCAAATGATCCAATCCTCCACCTTCTATCTCCAATATATAATCACGGAGTTATCACTGCTTGACATTTATTTTTCTCTTCCATTCATGTTATACGTTCCTTTAAGCAAAAGCTTCAGCCCTTGTTTCTGTCAAACTTAGTTTATTTTTGACAATTATTTGTATGAATTATTTACTCATTGCTCTGCGCTGCACAAGATGTTGGAACTTAATAATAATAATAATAATATCTCTTTAAATACAGTCGAGACTCGTTTACCTAGCCTTATTATATAGCAGTAGAACGCAGCCTAAGGCTGTCCTAGTCACCTTAATGGGATCAATGCCCTCAGTCCAGAAAGTATTCAGACAGGATGGACAAACTGCTAAAAACCAGGACTGTATGTTTTTCAAGAAACCTCCACAGATAGTGCAGTGCAAACAGTCTGGGAAGCAGGTGAGGGGTGGAGGGTGTAAGAGACACGGTGGGAGATACCCATGGAGAGTTAGACACAGAGAGGGTAAAAAAGATGTGCGAAAAGGGGAGATATAACCCACTAAAGGGCTAAGAGATACAATAAGAGAGAGAGGACAGAGACCGATGAGGACGTAGGAAAAAGAGGTAAAAGCATAAATACAAATGAGAAAAGGGGGGAGACAATATGTAAAAAGAGAGAAGAGATGAAAAGGGAGTAAGATACTCAGAAGGGGCAAAAGGGGGTTAATAGACACACAGGCCTAGGCAGGTAAAGACATGTTTTTGGGGTGCCCCTGCACAAACACACAGAGAAACAGACAATGTCACCTCAAAATCTGTGTTGTAGCCGCATGTTCCACAGGAGGGCTCTGCGCTCCCGAAACACAGAATCTTCTGCCCCAGAGAAAAAAACAAAATCCCCAAGGTCCCCAGCTTCAGGAAGACATACCTAGGGCCGAAACAGACATATGATATCCGTCGTGGGAAGATAATGGGATAATTTGGAACACAATATATCATGGGGAGATAATGGGATAATTCGGAACACAATATGTCATGGGGAGATAGTGGGATAATTCGGAACACAATATGTCATGGGGAGATAGTGGGATAATTCGGAACACAATACGTCATGGGGAGATAGTGGGATAATTCGGAACACAATCCGTCATGGGGAGATAGTGGGATAATTTGGAACACAATCCGTTATGGGGAGATAATGGGATAATTCGGAACACAATATGTCATGGGGAGATAGTGGGATAATTCGGAACACAATCCGTTATGGGGAGATAGTGGGATAATTTGGAACACAATATGTCATGGGGAGATAGTGGGATAATTCAGAACACAATCCGTCATGGGGAGATAGTGGTATAATTTGGAACACAATACGTCATGGGGAGATGGTGGGATAATTGGGAACACAATACGTCATGGGGAGATGGAGGGATAATTGGGAACACAATCCGTCATGGGGAGATAGTTAAATAATAGACAGGACAAGATGGCAGCTCTTACCTAATCAGGGTCAAGGTAATCTCTGCGCTGGGTGAGTGACCCTCGAATCTTACCAATAACGTGAAGATGCGTGGGAGGATAAGATGTACCAAAGAGATCACGAAAGGGACGAGGTAGTGTCTCAGTAAGCCCAGAATAGGAGGCACTTCTATCTGAGGGATAGGAGCGAGGTCAGAGGTCAGGTAGTTGCTGATGGATAAGGATAAGATTTTAGGCATTGGTTCCACTTACCTTGTGATAGTCCTGGGATGATACCCCAGTTGCAAGATGTACAGAATAGAACGCACCGCCCAGCAATGCCATGATTACACAGTTAATCAGCACGCGTGTGGTAATAACACATGCCCTTCTACCAACAGCCTGTCTTTCGAAGTCCAACAGCCAGAGCTCCTCCGCCAGATGAGACTATGGCAAAAAGACACATGAACATGCCAAGTGGCACAGACACAGTAACCAATAGTCGGAGACTTTAAAGGGACACAGAGTGATAAACATTATTTCATTAACTTATCGAATGTTCTTTTCTTTACACATCATTCTGCATAGTTTAACTTTTCTTCTAAGAGAATACATTTTTTTAATGACCATTTTCTTTAATGGAAATACCTGGTGTGTATGGGGTTTAAATTCCTGCACTCTATATTACAATGAAAACACGTATGTAAAGAAATTTTTAAAAACATTTTAAGGCAGGGCATTGAACAAGTGGATTAAAATATTTACATTGGGAGTTTCTGGATGTATAAATTATATATTTAATTGGACATATACATTGTTTATTACTCCTCAGAATTAAAGCTCACCTTGATCTCATAGCTCAGACTCTGCTGTTTTAGGGAAGACATCCTCAGTCCTTGTGCACAGAAGTCCCAACTCGAAAAAACTTTGGTGCTGATTGGTGTTTTGTAATCTCTGCTCCTCACCCTCCGAGTGGTAATGCCTTGTACAGTGCTGGAGAAACACAAAACTCTGTTAGGAGGGACAAATGATGAAAAAAAGAAAAATAAATATGGTCCAGTTCACACAGAATCCCATTAAATCAATGTATACCAGCAGGCACGCAGGTTCCGTAATGTCTGGATTAACATGGTCAAGAAATCAACAACATGTCGATAATAAATTGATTATGGGGAATGATTTGAAACATGATCGTCTGTTGTATCAAACTGAGGGGTTCATTATTTGCGACGGTCAATGATTGAAGGGAGATTGGATTAAAAATGAGAAAATAGGGACCAGTATAGGAATGTATTTATATACCGATTTCTTACCACCGCAAAAGGTATAATCCACAGAGTAGCAAATAGACGAGGGGGATCAGCAGATACGCCAGGCGGATATCGAACAAAGACAAATCAGTGGTTTCTTCAGAATAATAGCCGTAAAAAAATAAGGAGTTCCTCAGAAAACCCTGGAATGAAGAAATGTCTATTTAAAAGAATGTTATTAATAGTATTATCAGTTATACCAACACACTCTGTACAATATATAATAATAAATATTAAGGGGAGTAACGCCATAAACATGTGACCACTCTACGCAGTATTGTGATGATGTAACATTTCATAACTCAAATCAAGGCATGGGTTTGGCATAACACATGGGCCGTAAGTGCTCTTGGCTTGCTGAACCCACCTTCCTTCCAGAAGCAAACAGACATACTGTTCGAGAACTTGCATAGTGACATTCCTGCTCCATCTCTAGCAGTACTCAGGCTCTGCTCACTTTCAGCCTTTTGTTGGCCAATATCGCCAGTGGGCACCAACTATCAGTCTTCCTTACCACGCTTACCTCCCGCCGAAGCTCCGAGTGCCACGAGCCCCTCCAGCATTCCGTCCAAAGCGTGCAGTGTGTGTATATGTGCGACCGAACAAACTGCCGAATTCGGAGCACATAAATGACGTCAGAGGTCAGATTAGGAAGTTCAAGTACCTTCGACGAATAGTGGTCAATTCCAGATGGAAAAGGACCAATCAGGTGTAAGTAATGCCTATATATACTAACTGTTCCTCTTGTGTTTCTTGGTATTTGTTCTGACTCTTGTCTACATTTATCCGGTCCTCTGTTATCCATTGACCTTGTTTAATCATATATTCTGATCTCTGTGCTCCCTTGATCCGGCTTGCTATCCTGACTCTGTTTGTTCTTTTAACCCGACCATTCTAAGGACCAGTATAACGGACTTATTCCTTTAGGGATTCTGTCAGTGTGTTCAGCTTCCAGGATTCCTGACACCAACACACTCTATACAATGCCCATTCTGTTCTCTAAGACTGCCCACGTAGTCCACGTTCCCTTTAATACTCTAAATATCAGTGGAACGTGGACGAGGAGGACTCAGGACCACAGGAATGGCTTATTATTAGTGTAAACACAAGAAACCATTTGTCATCATAGCTTGGAATCCGTGGAACCATTACCACAGAAGACGTGATCTGTATCATCATAAAAATAATAACTTAGAAATTGAACCTTTAGTGTTTTAAAAAGTTACAGCAACCCCACACCACGTTTCAGCCTCTGAAAGGCCTCATCAGTGAATTCACAGTGAGCAAGGGGTCTGCACCTGGAACGTCAATACGTAAACTGAGCGAAAACCTTCTCTCATCATTTATATTAACAGAAAGCCATATAGCATTACACGGTGCAATAACGAGCAGTGTGAGCTTTCAACATCTACACAGAGTGTAAGGAGTGTATACCAACAACCCTACGTCACAATTAATAAGTATCAGATACTCACTTCTCCAGTAAAAAGATCTATGAAGACACCTTTAGTGCTATTTTGATGCCGAAAGTTAATACACTGAGCATCTGAAAGTAAATCATGGGGGTAAAAACATAATTAATTGATTAACATCTGTTAAAGAGTGAGATGCTCTTATAAACTTTCTCTAAATTTCTTAAAACATAGATCACCAGCTAAGTTAAATTGTTCATTGTAATTTGTATCCTACACGGCTATTTACTAACATGTAAATTGTCAGGAATTCAAAACGATCTAGGCCAAAACAACAGAAAAAAATAGCTTATTAATGTATTTATTTTACTTTTTCAATTCAGCAGTTTTGGCTAAAATGTGTAATTCATTATATCTTATTTATAATGAATCATACATGTGCTTTATCGATATATGATGTAGTCATTTGTTTTATAGGCATTGCTATTTAACCCCCATAGCCTGAATTATAACCACACTCTGTACAGATAGGGGTTTGGAGAGTGACCGGTCAGCTTTGAGACTTTCTTTAAATGTCTAAGTAGATAGACTATAGATAGACTATAAACTGGCTGTTTAACCTTTTTGAAAGCCATACCACATGTTCTCCAGATGATCGATGGATTACACCTATTGGTAGCCATTATTGATCCCAAAGAGAGAATTGCTATTTCATCTTTATAAGTAGTATGTTGCCAAAATCTAAATTACTTTAGAAAGTATACATATAGGAAAGTTAGCTCTTACCTGATGGTGTCTGACCAGCTCCTTCTTTGGTGAAGACGATGGTTGGGACAACAAGTAATCCGAAGGTGAAAACAAGTGAAACAAGATTCAGGAGGATCAGGAAGCGAAGGAAGGAGAAATAAGAGGAGATACCAGAACCGAACCTCGCTGTGGGGTACAGAAACAAGGTGAAACCTCACACCCAACAACCCTAAATCCCTCACCCTAATATATAACACGTCAGTCTTATAATTTGCATAAAGTTTATCCATCAGGGCCAGCCGCTCCTGGTCACCTTCTACTGAACCTGATACTGTATTACTGTACTGCAATAGCTCCTTGCTATTAGGCACTGGTACCCACTGGGACCCATAGACAAAAATACTACAGCAAATAAAATATATTGTGAAAATGCAGCGGAATGCAGCCACCAAACCAGTGTTTAATCACCTAAAAACACAAACACTGCTAAAACGAAAACACTAAACGTGAAGCTCAAACAATGGGATAATAGTGCGGTGCTCTGTCTGGGTTCTATATCCCATAAGTTTTCTTTTTTTACTTTTATTTTTTTCCAATTGACAATTTTTATTTTGTCTTTGAGCAAAAAGAAACATGGGGATACAGAACGAGGAAAGAGGGGGGGGGGGAATTATACATTGCATAATGGCTACACAGACAATAGCTATGTGTAGTTATCTACATATCAGTGTACAACATAGTTAGACATCTACATACAAACATGCTTCCCTGAGTTGTGTGTTTTCTGGAGCTTCATTGCTTAGTTACCGTAAACCCCTTTTTTTTTTTATATATATATTTGGTGTGGTAGTATTTGTTGGCGCTCTGCGTGGCGCCTCTCGATTTTGTTTCAGGAGTCGGTAGACTCACTAGGGTGGACGTGGTTAGGGGGGGTGGTGTCTTAGCTCGTGATTTGTTGAACCCACAGGTCGTGTGCTTCCTGTACCTCTTTTCGTGTTCCAAATTGTGCGTGTGCCATTTTTTCGTATTCCCAATTTTGGTTTACCTGTTTTATAAGGTCCTCTATGGGTGGAGTGAGAGCTTTTTTCCAATGTCGGGATATCACTAGGTTGGCTGATATTAATGTGTGATATAATATCAGTTTGATATGTTTCGGTAATTTTTCTGGCAAGATGAACAAGAGACACATCTGAGGTGTGTCTACTCTTGGGGCTGGCGATATCTTCTGTAGTATGTTCGCTACCTCTGCCCAAAATGGTCTGAGCATGGTGCATGTCCACCAAGTGTGTATCATCGTGCCCACGTCCTTCCCGCACCTCCAGCACATATTGCTGGTCGAGGGCCATATTCTGTGCAATTTATCCGGTACTAAGTACCAGCGGTATAAAATTTTTCGCTGCAATTCTAGATGTGTGGCACATGCTGTAAGCCCCCTATGAGCCGTGTATGCCCTCTCCCAGTCCCTGTCTGTTATTGTAACATTGATATCTCGTTGCCAGGATGATTTGACCTCACCTAATGTGTGTGATTGTTGCGTTATTAAGCTCTGGTATCCCCAGGACATTATTTTCTTGAGTGGTGTTGTTCCCGTGCTTTGTTTTTCGAATTCCGTCATATGTGTCGGTGCTGTGGGATCTGTTCGTCTCCCTAGCTTATCTAGTACGTAAGATTTGAGCTGAAGGTAGGAGAATAATGCTTTGGAGGGGAGGTTGTATTTTTCCTGTATGTCGGGGAACGGTATCAGTCGCCCCCTGTCTATCACTTGGTACATGTGACGTATCCCGCCTTTCACCCATATTTCCCAAGGGAATGTAGGAATCTCCAGTCCTATGGAGCGCAATGGCATAGCTAACGGTATTATCGGTTGCGTCACTAAGTCTGGTTTCATTGTGTGCCACATTCGCAGTAAGGTTTGGGTAGGTGGTAGGAGATCGTTTATTTCCTGGTTGTTTTTCGTCTGTTTCCACATGAGTGACCTAAGATCACCTTGTGGTGCTTTGCTGGCTTCGATCGTCACCCACTGCGGGGCGCCGGTAGGCCTGTTAATCTGTGCAATGTTGTGTAGGTATGCTGCTCTGTAGTACGTCGCCAGGTTAGGAAGGCCTAATCCCCCTTTTTTGACAGATCGATATAACGTCCCTGCTGCTACTCTTGCCTTTTTCCCTTCCCAAATGAATGAGTTAATGATATGTTGCACGTTTTTTAGGAACTGTTTTGGTATTGGTATTTGGAGCGTCCGGAAAAGATACTGTATCTTAGGGGTAAGTGTCATTTTGACTGCTGCTATGCGTCCTATCCACGACAGGTATTTACCCTTCCATGAGTGAAGGGTGTCTGTAAATTCCTTCAGTAAACGGGTGTAGTTGTGTCGGAACAGGTGGGCTGGGTTTTTGGTTATTTTGATACCCAGGAATGTCAGGTGATCGTGTCTCCAGTCTAGAGGGAATGCTCGTTCCAGTCTGATTGCTAACTCGCCTCCTAGTTGTATTCCTAGGGCCTGAGTTTTCGTGACGTTAAGCTTATAGTATGATACTGCCCCATATTCTTGGATTCTCGTCATCAGGTTTGGTAGGGATATTAATGGGCGTGTTAGTGTTACTAGGACATCGTCCGCGAACAAATTGAGCTTAAATTCGTTAGTCCCCATGAGTACTCCTCGTATGTTCGTGTCAGCTCTAATAACTGCCGCCAAGGGTTCCAGCGCTAAAATATAGAGTAATGGTGACAGGGGGCACCCCTGTCGCGATCCATTAGTAATGCGTATTTGTTTGGATACAAACCCAGAATTTAAGACCCTGGCTGTGGGGTGGGAGTAGAGCGCTCTGACGGCGTTTATAAAGGTTGGGGGGAATTTATATTTACCAAGTACCGCCTGCAGAAAAGGCCAGTTGAGCCTGTCAAAAGCCTTTTCCGCATCTAGTGACAGAAGTATCCCCCCCTCACCTTTGTCAGTCAGGCTGTATAGTAGGTCAATTACCTTCCTGGTGTTGTCTGAGCCCTGTCTGCCTTTTGTGAATCCCACCTGATCATCATGAATTAATGTTGGGATTATGTCCGCTATTCTGTTGGCTTGTATTTTTGCATATAGTTTAATGTCCGTGTTGAGTAACGAGATCGGTCTGAAATTTTGACTACATGTCGGTGGCTTTCCTGGTTTAGGCAGTGTTACTATGTGTGCGCCCAGCATCTCCGCCGGAGCGTCCGCTTTGCGAGTGAGTGCATTGAATAAGTTTGCTAAGTGCGGGGCTAGAGTATGTGCGAATTTTTTGTAGTAGTTGTTGGAGAACCCGTCTGGGCCTGGGGCTTTCCCGCTTGGGAGATGGGATATGGCCTGAAGTACTTCTGTTACTGTGATATCTTCCTGTACTGTAGCTATTTGCTCCACTGTCAGTGATGGTAGAGATATCCCCGCTAGGTATGTCTCTATACCGCCCGTAGTTGGCTGGCTCGTGTCAACCGCATTCTCCAGGTTGTATAGAGATGTGTAGTAATCCGCAAATACGTCCCCAATGTCTTTGGGTGTCACCTTTTTTTCCCCTGTTTGGTTGTGAATGAATGGGATCTTGGCATTCACATTTCTGTGTGACAGTCTCCTGGCTAATAGTCTGCTTGCTCTATTGCCCTGTACGTACTGTGTCGTCTTAAGTTTTCTAAGGTGGTACCCTGTTTTTGCTAGATCGTGCTCTTTAATTTCCCCTAGTTTGTCCTGAATTTGCCGTTTGAGCTCAGGAGTTGGGCTCAACTGGTTTTGTTTGTTGAGGGTATATAGTGACTTTAGCCAGTGCCTCATTTTGGTTTGGGACTCCCGTTTCAGTGCGCTCGCCCTACCTATGAGGGATCCCCTGATGACCGGTTTGTGTGCCTGCCATAGCGTCTCTGGCGTGATTTCCGACGTTTGGTTAGTAGTAAAGTACCTGTGTAATTCGTCAGTGAGGGTCTCACAAAATTGGGTGTCGTTTAGGAGAGTCTCATTCAGTCTCCACGGGCTTCTGTGTTTATAGTCATATGCATCTCGCAATTCGAGGGTAACTGGGGCGTGGTCGGACCACGTAATGTTCCCTATCGAGCATGCTATTAATTGATTAAGGAACGTTCCCTTTACGTAAAACCCATCTATCCGAGAGTAGGTATTGTGGACTTGGGAGAAAAATGTATAATCCCTCTCGTCCGGGTGCAATACCCTCCACGCGTCATATAGGTCATGTTCGCTAAACAAGCGAACCAGGGGCTTACATTCTCGTGTGAGGGTTGCGTGTCTGGGTGTGTTTGGTCCTACCGTTGAGTCTCTTTTGGGGTCAAGTATGTGGTTCAGGTCCCCGCATATGAACGTGATGCCCCTCTGGACCCGCGCAAGTCGCGTTATAATTTTGTGCAAAAAGTTTCTCTGGTTTGCGTTTGGTGCGTAAATGTTCACTATAGTGTACTCTAAATTGTTAATTTCACACGCCAGTATTATAAACCTCCCCTGTGTGTCCGTGTCTTCGTACAAGGGCTTAAAGGAGACCTCTTTGCTAATCATTATAGCAACCCCTTTAGTTTTTGATGTGGCAGTGCTGTGGAATTGTACCGGATATTGTGCTTTTGCTAGTATGGACGCCTGTTTAAAGTGCGTTTCTTGTAAACACACTATATCTGGGCGTGACCTGCCCAGGTCTCTGGTAAGACAATACCTCTTTACTGGGGTATTCAACCCCTTAACATTGTGGTTGTATATTTTCATGATTTAATGTATGTGTTATACAAGTATTGGTTCTGTTTGTCTGTGTACTAATCCCCCTGATGAGGTACCTGCCTTCCCAGGGGTTCCTGTGTATTTTGTCTCCATAGTTCACTCTGTGGGGCTCTGCAATGCTTGGGGTCAGGGTCAAGGTGGTAGAGGGTAGGTATGAGGAATTGGCAGTATAAACAACATATATAACAGTCACATAGAATAAAACATAAGTGTATACATTTACAAACGGTTCAGTATACATTTCCCACTGAAGGGTATTGCACTATCACGATAGTGCAAGGTGGGAGCGTGGTTACTCTGTCGACTTCTAAGGTGTGGTGTAATTGGTTGCACTTAGGGTGCCCGAATCTTTCCCTCGGTATTCACCTTCGTGTTGCAATCATTGTATGTGTGAATCTACCGGCTGTTGCTGTGGCGTATAGGTTGCGTTACTTTATTTTATTTTTATTTATTTTTTTTTATTTTTTTTTTCGTGTGTGTGTGTGTGTGGGTTATGGGCTTTGTGTTATGTTCATGGTTCAAATGCACGTCAAGCCTTCCTGGCCTTTTTTTTTTTTTTTTTGCGTGTGTGTATGTATCTATATATACATTAATATCCTGTGTGCTTATGAGTGAATGTGTCATGTGTGTTTTGTAAATGTTTATGGTTAGGCGTGTAGTGCTGGGAATACTTGCACTTCTCCGACCGCCAGACTTCAGGCTTTGCCTCAGCGTCCTCAACGGAAGAAAAAAAGTCTCTGTGTTAGTTCATTTTTTAGTCTTTTTCCAGTCAGTTGGCATTCTCCGTGCTGCAGTCGCCTCTTTCTTCTCCGGGTTTGGCAGGACGTTCCAGCTGCGCAGCAGTTTGCGGCCTTCTTCTGGGGTGTTCACTGTGGTCACCAGTCCATTCCTTCTGATTAGGAGGCGGATAGGGAATCCCCATCTATACTGTATATTGTTGTAGCGGAGGGTTTCAGTCGTTTCCCTAAATTCTTTTCTTTTTTGCAGCGTAGCCGCAGAGAGGTCTGTGAACATTTTGATATGTTTGTATTTTTGTGGTGGGTCGCCGCCCGTTCTCGTTGCTTGAAGTAGTGCTTCTTTAGCATGGAAGTAGTGTAGGTGAGTTAGCACATCTCTGGGGGTGTCTTGTGGTAAGAACGCCGGTTTTTGCACTCTGTGATATCTATCCAGCAGTAAAATATCAGCTGTCAGATCTGGTGCTATCGCTTTAAAGTACCCCATTAGGTATTCATGTAGATCTTGCTGCTTTACCTCCTCAGAGATGCCTCTGATTCTAAGGTTCTGACGTCTCGATCGGTCCTCTAGGTCCATGACCTTCCTCTGCGTGGTGTCAAGTTGTTGTTGCAGCTCTTGTACTTGTTCTGCCATAGCATTATGCACAGTGGCTTGTTCTTCCACACGGTTCTCCACTTGTGCAGTCCTGTCCCCCAGCTCCTGCATCTCCCTTTTCACTTCTCCTAGTGTACCTTGCAGGGTTTCAAGAATCCTGCTGGACATGGTGTCTAGACACTTCTGTAGGAAGTCTTGGGTAACTGGCAGTTTTGTGTGCCTGGGGATGTTGGTAGTGGCAGTGTGTCATTACCTCCGTCGCCATCTTGTCCCTGGTCAGCTAGGCCCATCAATTTTGGCGTCGACGCTCGGGTCGCAAAAAAGCCGGCCGGATCGGTTTTCTCGGCCTGCTTCTTGGCCTTCTGTGCTGCCATGCCTGGGGGGGTTGTGTGTGGGTCGGATAATTGCCGGTACTGCTTAGAAATTAGCTTTTTCGGGCCGTCGGTGCGCGGAGCTCAGCACTGTGCGACCATCCGCATCGCCCGTCAGGCCACGCCCCCCTTTTTTTACTTTTAGAAGTACTATATCCCCAAAATGTCTATGTGATCTGTAATCTAAGTGACTAACTGTTTCAATGAAACCTAATCCCAAAATCAGATGTTTATTTTTGCAAAATGTCTGACAAATTAACAAAACTCTTCGGTAGTTTTCTGAATCTGTTGCTTTAGCGTAAATTATGGTAATTCATTACAACACCACAATTGGAGAATAAGCACCACAATATTTGCTAAAGGTAATTATAAAACACATTATAAAAAGCATCCTCGGTGTCCGCTTTTGGGAGAGCTTTATGTCGAGGTCCTATCAGAAGTCAACTGTCACAGGTTGCCCACAATCTCCATGGTCCTTGCTACTGGATGGGGGCTTGCGGTGATCACTCTGCCTTGGCAAGATGGCGCCTGCCATGCCATGTGGACAATACAACATTATATCTGGGTGTTGTGGGAAGGGCTTTAGGCGTGATGAGGAAGCAGAACATGGACATTCATGCAGCCAAGATGGAGCAGAGTCCCTAAATACACTCCATATCCCTGCAGTGCTCTGCTATGGGTAGGGGTTTTGGTCATGTGAATCACACATTCTTCTTAAACCCAGCATTCCCCCTAATACTGTTTAGAGGTCTCCTGACCCTGCTTCCTCTCTGCCTGCTCTGCCCTCCGGACCATCTGACCTCGTCACCTAGTCATTCCTTGGATACCTTTGGTTCAGTTCCTTTTCTATTGAAGGCTCATCAAAGGCCCTGTCTCTACCTACCGGTGTCCCCTTAGGGTCGTGATTAGAAGCAAGTGTTTTTTTGCTACAACAAAAATGCTACTGACCCCCTGGTAGGTCGTTAGCCACAGAAGCAGTGCTCTCTGCCACTCAGCTTGTCTTTCTGCTTTTGAATGCACACAGTGTTCGCTGCATCTGATATGGAAGAATTGGATTCAATGCTTCACTATCAAAAGAAGCTGATTCTTGCCTTTATGACTCTCACCGCGCATGCGCCAAAAATCTAACATTGCTTTTCTCTGAGAAGTATTTGATTTGACTACATGCTGAAAGAGGATGATTCAGCGTGATGACAGAGAACTCATGGAAATGATCACACACTCGATTCAACCTTTTAACCTATTCTTAATCGTTTTTCACCCAAAAATGGACTAAGTAAGAAATGTACAATATAAGAAAATAAGCAAAAATAGCAGAAGTTTAAAAAACCCAATTGGAATAACCCTTTAACTCTTTCTCTGACAGAAATTTTTTCAACAATGTTATTAGTTAACTGAAACAGTATTACATAAATATGACATCACAACATCTCATCCAATCAGTAGGCAGCATAGGTTATAACAGGCGGAGTCAACATTCCAGTATCCTCTTTCTTTGCAGTTCAGTTATTGGAGAACATGTGAATTATTATTGTCTCTGAGATATCAAGAATTCCAATCCGTGATGAAGTTGGCCAGACCAGGAAGATGTTCTGCGTGTACTGAAATGCTACGTTCCAAGCAAAACTTCCAGAATTGCTTTGGAAATATCCGATAAAGCCTTTGATCTCAGTCCACCTGACCGCTGCAGTGCCGTTATTGATTGAACACTGCAATTGGTTCAGTCTCAAGTAGAATAATAGAGGCAGAAATGTTTTGACGCCAAATATTAGTAAATAGGTCTCATGACTCCTGAAATATTATATCATCACTACAACACATCCAGCATTTTTAAAAATGTCGGACAGAAAACTTGGGCCTGGATTAGCCATGTTTACCCAATGTCTACCCAAGCTAAATTTACTTCTGTAATGATCCAGAAACACAAATCAAAATCTCAGGACAACTATTTTTTACAGATGTGTATCAGTGAGCCGGGATTATTATGTCCACAAAAAAAGATAATGTTGGCATGGCGGGTTCTAACCTATGTTCTCTACTGATTGGATGAGATGGAGAGCTGTCATGTTTAACTATTAACTAGGGGGTGCTTTTTCTTACCCCTGATGGAAATCAGTGTCCTCTCCCACAGTTTGCAGGCTCTCAGGATTTGCTGTAATTGCTCCAACGTTGGGTGGACATATGAGCACTGTCCACAATTCTGCCATGGTCCCAAAAACGTTTTATTTAAATTCTTAAATTGCATCTCCTCCCTAGAACACAGAGAGACCTTATTCTGAAGACGTCTGGCACGTGATAACCTTAATGTGTGCTAGCCTGGGGAATATTGAGATCAAATCTACCAAAATGAGATAATCATGGTTTATTGGAAAAAGTCAAATTACATTTTCACATTTAGATAGGCATAATATGAATCTCTGAAGATAAAAGTTAACCAGAAAATGACCAATATTGGGAACATATGAAGGACTTTACCTCAATCTGCGTTTCTCCTGTATGGTCAATGGATGGTCCCGGAGGTAGATGTGCTTCGTCCATCGTTGGGATGCTTTACTCATTCCGTTATCCCTTTGACCGTATACAACCAACAGATATTATTTTACTTAGAAACAGTTAAATAAATAGACCGAAACCTCATATCTAGACACCGTTTGTAGCTCAACATCCCTAGACAGGCCTGCAGCTTGGCTGACCTGCTAGTGCTCAATGCTGCTTTTTATCTCTTGCTTAGCTCCAACTCTTCAACTCCCCATGACTGGCGGTCATTCTCTGAGAGGGGGAGGACGGGGACATGATGTGTCATCATATCCTAACACCTCTCTTAATATTGCGCCCAGTTTCCTTGGGTGCTGAGACTGGCCAGGAGGGGAAACAGACTCACAATGCTACACAAGCAGACACACACCAACATGCACACACATACAGACAATCACATCTAGACACATACGGTCATGCCTGACATCATATTTCAATAACCTACTCCCCCTGACAGAGCTCTGTTTCCTACAAGTGTGGGAGTTGCGATTATGCCGCTCTTACACAGATATCATGAGCGCTCTGTCCTGCACCCAGGCTGTCTGCGGTAAAGAATAAATAGCATTGGTCCCGAAAGTCCAGATTTAGTTTCAATGCAAAATTTGTGGATGCACCCTCTCAAACAGCAAGATATACATCCATTCACTCACACACTCTAACACACCATTTAATTATTTTATTTTTTTATAAGGAGGTCCTCCCAGCCTGGGGAGCTGTAGTTGAATCTCTCTCTGGCAGTCATTTGGGAGCCGCAGACATCGCTGTGGTCAGATTTCTCCCTTGTGCGCCCATTACTAAGGCCAGGGAGTGATGGCACTATCCAGCTCTTGGCATCGTTCCAGAGAGTGCCCGGAGGCTATGTAGCCATAGCACAAATCACTGCCATCCTCTCAGGTAGCCAGTGCCTACTCGGCCTTATTTCACATATGGTGATGGGACCCCACGCTGCCTTAAACTCTGCTGGCCCTGAGTGCAGCTTATAAATGCTTCCGTCAATGCAGTGCAGCTTGGTACAAATAGATTAGGAACTGCTGCTGTAGAAGACCCTGATTGCTATTACATTACTGCGTTCTTAATTATCTTGGAGAATTCAGCAATGAACAGATAGATTGTAGATTAAAGGAAGCCGAGCCATAGAGCTCTCACCTTTAGTGGTTGATTCAGAAATTATACCTTAATGCATTAACTCGCTGATTTCCCGATAACCCAGAAAAATGGACGAATTCCGGTGGGTCATCAGCAAAAGGCTTTGTAAAAATGCCCCTTTTATATTACAGGTCGCAGCAGCTCACATGTATCCGTGTGCAGATATTCCATTTAATGGAAGATAACGTGTAATTTCTCATTCTGACACGGCACAATGTCTATTGACTTTTTTTATATAGATTCTGCGTTAAAAGCTTTTAGTGTGAGAGGTTTACTGTAAATTAGTACGGAATATATTATACGGTGTGGGGAAAGCTATTTACATGTGCCAGACTGGATTCCATTTCTTGCTCTATCCATTTATATGGCCAGCTTTGTATGTCCATTATAAGCTTCCCCCGTCCCCCAACTCACGTTTCTCGAAGGGATGTTTTTCAGCACCTCTGGCTCCTGTTTACATGAACAATAACAAGAGGAGAGTTTCGTTGGAAAGGAAGTCGAGATGCAAAGCTGTTGCATTACAGGAAACCACAAAAGGAGTGATCATCGCTGTTGCCCTCATATCCTGCTCACAAGACACATAGTACAGGTTAAAAACACTCAGAAATGGAGAAAATATAAATTTACAGCACTGACAGCCTAGCCGGACCCTCGAAATGACTTGTTTCCTAAATGGTGCTCTAGAAACGTATTCACTACCCGAATAGTGCCTTGGGACAAGACCCGCCACTAACGGTGGACTGGAAACGGACTTCCTGTGCAGTGTCAGCGCGTCTCACTGCGATCCCTGGTAAGAATGTATCGTTAGTCAGCGCTCTCCGCTACCTGCAACTGTTTCCTGGCAAACGCCACGAACTTCTGGAAATAAAGAGATACTGAAGCAGGCCTGGTTCCTTGTAGATGTGCCACTGGTCCCACCAGACGGACCGCAGAACCCCACCAGTGCAGGTACCGCAGGCTCCATATCCTAGCAAGTTCTCTCACTAAGGGCTAATGGGGGAACTGGCTTTTTTAACAACAACAAAGATTTGTGCATCACATCTAGAGAAATGCACACAAACGCAGAATTATCATCACATATTGTATAGTGCATGGGAGAACAATATTGGTTACTCCAGCTGTTGTACTACATTTCCCATAATTCTGTGCAGCATTGCTGTCAGAATGTAGTGGGAGTTTGCGAGGGAATGAAGATGTAAGGCTCCCTTATCTGAGCTATTTTGGTTTGAAATGTGTGATTTCTTTGGCAATAATGTTTAGATGATCATCCAGATTCCCAAATAATTCCCATTTTAGCTAACTAACCCCTATAGCAACTAACCTCCTTATTGTTATTACCACACAGTCGACGTCATGTTGTCAGACAGCGATTCGCAGTATTAGGGTGTGTCCCCAGTCCATTCCCCAGGACAGTGTACATTGCAACAACTGCCGCTCTGCATCAGCGCCACATCTCGCCACCATAACCACCACACAAAGAATATCATTGTCTCCACTCGAGGGGTTTGAGGAGGGAGGTCGTGTGCTGCAACATTCACCGTTTATTCACCAAAATGATTGCTGTCAGGAATTCAAACTAAATTTCAAATTTAAAGGAACAATATAGCGTGAGGAAAACATATGTGTACAAATAGTGCCCTGCTGGCCATTTAGGTCCGCGGCCCCCAACTGTACGGAGATAAAAAAGGTCCATTACTTACCTTATCTCTCTAGCAGCGCTGGGCTCCGTGGACAATCTCCGCCTCCTTGATCTCAGCCAATCCCATGCATTCCCACAGGACAGCATTGGGAGCTAGTGCACATGCGCAGCAAAACACTGCACTGCTTCAAACAGATGGTTTCTAATTTGGAGCATTCTAAAAATAATATTAAATATTCTGAGATCTGCTCATAGCACCAGAGCTAAAGGGAGACAGTCACTACATGTTGATTTTATTCACAGATTACGTGAGAATTGAGCAATAAATGGAAAACACTAAATCTATATTGATATATTTAATAAATATAGATTTTTTTTAACTGATTTTATTTCTTTTTTCTTCTCTTGTTTTTCCCTCTTTTACTTATTTTTTCTCACTTGAGTATTGTGGATATATATATATATATATATAAAGATAAAGGGACACTATAGTCACCATAACTACAGCTTAATGTACAGTATACAGCTTAATGTACGGTATATAGCTTAATGTATATTATACAGCTTAATGTACGGTATACAGCTTAATGTACGGTATACAGCTTAATGTATATTATACAGCTTAATGTACGGTATACAGCGTAATGTACGGTATACAGCTTAATGTACGGTATACAGCTTAATGTATATTATACAGCTTAATGTACGGCATACAGCTTAATGTACGGTATACAGCGTAATGTACGGTATACAGCTTAATGTACAATATGTACATCTTAATGTACGGTATACAGCTTAATGTATATTATACAGCTTAATGTACGGCATACAGCTTAATGTACGGTATACAGCCTAATGTACGGTATACAGCTTAATGTACAGGTATACAGCTTAATGTACTTAATGTACGGTATACAGCTTAATGTATATTATACAGCTTAATGTGCATACAGCTTAATTATACAGCTTAATGTACGGTATACAGCTTAATGTACGGTATACAGCTTAATGTACGGTATACAGCTTAATGTACAGTATACAGCTTAATGTACGGTATACAGCTTAATGTACAATATACAGCCTAATGTACGGTATACAGCCTAATGTATGGTATACAGCTTAATGTACATTATACAGCTTATTGAATTTGTTCTGGTGAGTAGAATCAGTCCCTTCAGGCTTTTAGCGGTAAACACTGTTTCAGAAAAAATGCAGTGTTTATATTAAAGCCTTGGGATACCTACAATGGCCACTCCTCAGATGACCACTAAAGGTGCTTCCCGGGGCAGTGCTGCACAGTGTGACTGACATTCAACCTCTCCACCCTCTGCATGCAGACACTGAACTTTCCTCATAGAGATGCATTGTATCAATGTATCTCTATGAGGAAATACTGATTGGTCAATGTGATGGAGCTCCTGTACTCCGACCGAGTACTTCCACTTAGTCCACTTCCTAGGACCCTGGAATGCTTCAGAGATCTTTCTCCTGACCAGGATCCACCCAGGACACATACAAAACTTAAATTTTCTCAGGACTAGCCCATATGATCATTACGCATAGATTACTGGGACGACTCAATATAAATACAAACAGTCAAATCACATTAGACAACATACAGGAACTTATAATAACATATTTATAAAGTGGTGGGAAAGACAATAATTAACAGAAAATATCTCTCCTGCCTGCAGAATTAGCAATATGCAAATCTACCCAACTATGCAAATTAGCAAGCCTTGCTATCCAGGCAGTGCATAATTCCATTTAACTCTTGCTAGATCCTTGCAACCAACAGGTGGCGCTTTACAGGCTCCACAGCCCAATCCACCAAGTTGATTGCAAGCATTAGCAAGACTTGAGAGCACATAAACATTTAACCCCAAACTGCATTACACACACACCCTGCATCCACAATTGACACAGGGTGACTTAAAGGGATACTCCAGACACCCAGACCACTTCTGCCCATTGGAGTGGTCTGGGTGCCAACTCCCACCATCCTTAACCTGGTGAGTGTAATTATTGCAGTTTTCATAAACTGCAATATTTACCTTGCAGGGTTAAAGGACCACTCTAGTAGCTGTCTATCAGACAGCCACTAGAGCGACTTCCGTGTTCTTAGAACACGAAAAGTGTTTTCGGCGATGCTGGACGTCCTCACGCTATGGAGAGGTCTAATGCGCCTGCGCGGCCATTGGCGCAAATGCGCATTAGGTCTCCCCCGCCGGCTGATGGCGGAGGAGAGTAGGCGGAGAGTAGGCGGAGCCTGACCAGTGCCGAGGGACATTAGCAATTGACTACGGTAAGTCACTGAAGGGGTTTTAACCCCTTCAGCAACTTGGGATGGGGGGGGGGGGGGGAGGGAGAGGGGCACTCCAGGGTCCTGCAGTGCCAGGAAAACTAATATGTACATATATACATAATACTAATATAATACACTATAATACCACACTGGGTACATACTGCTAAAATAATACACTATAATGCTACACTGGTTACATACTGCTAAAATAATACACTATAATAGAATACACTATAATAGAATACACTGGAATATAATACACTATAATACTACACTGGGCACATACTGCTAAAATAATACACTATAATACTACACTGGGTACATACTGCTAAAATAATACACTATAATACTACACTGGGTACATACTGCTAATATAATACACTATAATACTACACTGGGCACATACTGCTAAAATAATACACTATAATACTACACTGGGTACATACTGCTAAAATAATACACTATAATACTACACTGGGCACATACTGCTAATATAATACACTATAATACTACACTGGGTACATACTGCTAATATAATACACTATAATACTACACTGGGTACATACTGCTAATATAATACACTATAATACTACACTGGGTACATACTGCTAATATAATACACTATAATACTACACTGGGTACATACTGCTAAAATAATACACTACAATACTACACTGGGTACATACTGCTAATATAATACACTACAATACTACACTGGGTACATACTGCTAATATAATACACTACAATACTACACTGGGTACATACTGCTAATATAATACACTACAATACTACACTGGGCACATACTGCTAATATAATACACTACAATACTACACTGGGCACATACTGCTAATATAATACACTACAATACTACACTGGGCACATACTGCTAATATAATACACTACAATACTACACTGGGCACATACTGCTAATATAATACACTATAATACTACACTGGGCACATACTGCTAATATAATACACTATAATGCTACACTGGGCACATACTGCTAATATAATACACTATAATACTACACTGGGTACATACTGCTAAAATAATACACTATAATACTACACTGGGTACATACTGCTAAAATAATACACTATAATACTACACTGGGTACATACTGCTAATATAATACACTGTAATACACTGTGATATAATACACTATAATACACTGTGATATAATACACTATAATACACTGTGATATAATACACTGTGATATAATACACTATAATATAATACACTATAATACACTGTGATATAATACACTGTGATATAATACACTGTAATGTGTCCCTTCTCAGCAGACCCTGAGTGCTCATTCCACCTGCTCTCACACTCACTATATGCCCAGACAGGTTGAGTGGGAGGGGTGTTAGTCATGTGACCACAAACTTTCTCTCCGGGCAATCCTCCCCCCTATGGAATAATGAGGAATGAGTGTCCTTAGGGCGTGGAACAAACCAAATAGGAAGGGAGGGGTGCACGAGGCACTCAGAGAGAGAGAGGATGGGACTATCAGGGCTTCCTGTAGAACCTCTCAGTGATGGTGTATGTGGACAGGTAGGTACATTGTATCATTGTGGGGGCTCTGGGTGGTGTGATCTGCTATATCAGGGACAGGTAGGTACATTGTATCATTGTGGGGGCTCTGGGTGGTGTGATCTGCTATATCAGGGACAGGTAGGTACGTTGTATCATTGTGGGGGCTCTGGGTCGTGTGATCTGCTATATCAGGGACAGGTAGGTACATTGTATCATTGTGGGGGCTCTGGGTGGTGTGATCTGCTATATCAGGGACAGGTAGGTACGTTGTATCATTGTGGGGGCTCTGGGTCGTGTGATCTGCTATATCAGGGACAGGTAGGTACATTGCATCATTGTGGGGCTCTGGGTGGTGTGGATCTTTCACATATCAGGACAGGTAGGTACATTGCATCACAGGGGCTCTGGGGATGTGATCTGCTATATCAGGGACAGGTAGGCATACTGTATCAGCCTGTGGGGGCTCTGGGTGGTGCGATTCAAGCCATTATTTAGTACAGGTAGGTACATTGTATCATTGTGGGGCTCTGGGGATACGTGGATTCACATATTAGGGAGCAGGTGAGTAAGCATTGTATCATTGTGGGGGGCTCTGGGCAGTGATCTGCTATATCAGGGACAGGTAGGTACGTTGTATCATTGTGGGGGCTCTGGGTGGTGTGATCTGCTATATCAGGGACAGGTAGGTACATTGTATCATTGTGGGGGCTCTGGGGGGTGTGATCTGCTATATCAGGGACAGGTAGGTACATTGTATCATTGTGGGGGCTCTGGGGGGTGTGATCTGCTATATCAGGGACAGGTGGGGGCTCTGGGGGGTGTGATCTACTATATCAGGGACAGGTAGGTACGTTGTATCATTGTGGGGGCTCTGGGTGGTGTGATCTGCTATATCAGGGACAGGTAGGTACATTGTATCATTGTGGGGGCTCTGGGGGTGTGTGATCTGGTTAATATTAGGGACAGGTAGGTACATTGTATCATTGTGGGGGCTCTGGGGGGTGTGATCTGCTATATCAGGGACAGGTAGGTACGTTGTATCATTGTGGGGGCTCTGGGTGGTGTGATCTGCTATATCAGGGACAGGTAGGTACATTGTATCATTGTGGGGGCTCTGGGGGGTGTGATCTGCTATATCAGGGACAGGTAGGTACATTGTATCATTGTGGGGGCTCTGGGGGGTGTGATCTGCTATATCAGGGACAGGTGGGGGCTCTGGGGGGTGTGATCTACTATATCAGGGACAGGTAGGTACGTTGTATCATTGTGGGGGCTCTGGGTGGTGTGATCTGCTATATCAGGGACAGGTAGGTACATTGTATCATTGTGGGGGCTCTGGGGGTGTGTGATCTGGTTAATATTAGGGACAGGTAGGTACGTTGTATCATTGTGGGGGCTCTGGGAGGGTGTGATCTGCTATATCAGGGACAGGTAGGTACGTTGTATCATTGTGGGGGCTCTGGGGGTGTGATCTGCTATATCAGGGACAGGTAGGTACGTTGTATCATTGTGGGGGCTCTGGGTGGTGTGATCTGCTATATCAGGGACAGGTAGGTACATTGTATCATTGTGGGGGCTCTGGGGGGTGTGATCTGCTATATCAGGGACAGGTAGGTACATTGTATCATTGTGGGTATCATTGTGGGGGCTCTGGGGGGTGTGATCTGCTATATCAGGGACAGGTGGGGGCTCTGGGGGGTGTGATCTGCTATATCAGGGACAGGTAGGTACGTTGTATCATTGTGGGGGCTCTGGGTGGTGTGATCTGCTATATTAGGGACAGGTAGGTACATTGTATCATTGTGGGGGCTCTGGGTGGTGTGATCTGCTATATCAGGGACAGGTAGGTACATTGTATCATTGTGGGGGCTCTGGGTGGTGTGATCTGCTATATCAGGGACAGGTAGGTACGTTGTATCATTGTGGGGGCTCTGGGGGGATGTGATCTGCTATATTAGGGACAGGTAGGTACATTGTATCATTGTGGGGGCTCTGGGTGGTGTGATCTGGTTAATATTAGGGACAGGTAGGTACATTGTATCATTGTGGGGGCTCTGGGTGGTGTGATCTGGTTAATATTAGGGACAGGTAGGTACATTGTATCATTGTGGGGGCTCTGGGGGGTGTGATCTGATTAATATCAGGGACAGGTAGGTACGTTGTATCATTGTGGGGGCTCTGGGTGGTGTGATCTGCTATATCAGGGACAGGTAGGTACATTGTATCATTGTGGGGGCTCTGGGGGGTGTGATCTGCTATATCAGGGACAGGTAGGTACATTGTATCATTGTGGGGGCTCTGGGTGGTGTGATCTGGTTAATATCAGGGACAGGTAGGCACATTGTATCATTGTGGGGGCTCTGGGGGGTGTGATCTGCTATATCAGGGACAGGTAGGTACATTGTGGTGTCTGTTGTTTTGATGCATTGCTTTTTCTAAATATTTTGCTTTGGCAGCTTAGTTCTTGCAGCGTAATATCCTGACACTCCCTTTTTTCAGGTATTAACCGTTTGTGGACAGGTCTTGTATCACCATGTCTGTAGGATTCCTAGTCGATATACCTGAGGATTATGAGGAGACCAGGTGAGCAGTTATTTTTTTTATTTTCCAAAATACTGAGTTCAGTATTGTGACACCAGGCCGCTATCAGAAATTTTGGGGCCCCTAACACAACCCCAAGCCAGCCCACAGGCCCTTCCTCCAAATCCTGCCCACAGGAATACACACATAGGCACAAACACATGCACTGATACAAAAGAACAAAGATATACACACATACTGAAACAGACATACACACATATACAGACAACTGTCATGGTTGTCACTCCCTGATGGCGGCCCTGTGTGACACTGTATAGTGCCCAGTCCCTAATCTTAGGGCAGCACAGAATATTCATGTCTCACCCTGCCTGAGATTAGTGGGCATGTGACACTGTATAGTGCCCAGTCCCTAATTTTAGGGCAGCACAGAATATTCATGTGTTACCCTGCCTGAGATTAGTGGGCATGTGACACTGTATAGTGCCCAGTCCCTAATCCCAGGGCAGCACTGGATATTCATGTCTCACCCTACCTGAGATTAGTGGGCATGACACCGTATAGTGCCCAGTCCCTAATCCCAGGGGAAGCACAGAATATTCATGTATCAGGCTGTCTGAGCTTAGTGTGAGTGTTTTATGTAAATCAATACATAATGCTGCTTAATGATCTGAAGGGCTACTCCTGGCACCATGACCACTTCAGTGATGTGAAGTAGTCATGGTGCCCAGAGTCTGTAAGTGTACCATTTCATTACTAAGTGCTTACGTCCAGAGTTTAACCCCTCTGGTGTAAATAAACCTCCGGTAGTGTCATGGGAGTGTAATTATCCAGCTTGGAAGTAGACTTTCTGGACTGTCACTTTTTGGAACTTTTCACGCACAGAGTGACGCCCATTGGCTGAGAACAGTCACCTGGTCCTAGAACCCTGAGGGTAGCACGAGCTGTCTAATTGGGACTGTCCCTCCTAAATTAGTTGGGAGGCATGCATACAGTCAGTGATGTACTTAGTATCTGTGCTGCCCTAGGCATGACGGAACTTGGGCACCCCCTAATTTACATTTGCCCCACCTCTTCCTGTTAAACAACTAACACACACTTTGACTGACACAATCAGTGACTCACTGACATATACACACACACAATGACGCAGACACACATTCACCGACAGACACTCACAGACGCCCTTGCTGACACAATCACTCAGAAACAAACACATTCACTGACAGACACACACTCACTCACTGACAAACAGCCACACCATGACAGACATAGACACACAATCACTCAGACACACACACTGACAGACATACATACACACACACACACACACTGACAGACATACACACACACACACACACTGACAAACACATCCACCCCCCCCCCCTCCCCAAACATTAATTAATAGATTACTTTTCCTATTTTAGATTAAATCCACCCAGCCTCCCTACATTTGGAAGTGCTGGGTGGATATTTTTATTTATTTTTTTTAACCTTGGGTCCAGTGGGTCTTCTTGCAGGGAGGGAGGCAGGCATGCAGGCGGGTGAGCAGCTAACTAAAAATCCATGACGTTATATTCAGGCTCCTGGCATCACTCTGCGGTGCGCGAGGGAGCTGAGCAGAGGGCTCACTAATATGTGCTCCACCACCGGCCCCCACCCGCCTGGATTTTTAGTTAGCCGAATGCTGCCAGGCTAACAAGGTATTTGCCTGGGCATTTGGGGGTGGCGTTTTTTGCCGCCCCCTGGAAAGTGCCACCCAAGGCAAATGCCTTGTTTGCCTCATGGCAAATACTTCCCAGAGTAGAGCCCCCACCCGCTGCTCATGGGTGGGGGCCGAGGGGGGGACACTAGGTTAGTTAGTGGACCCTAGTCGATGTACCCACCATTACTGTTATAGGTGCCCCACTATGGGGGGACTTTATTAGGGGTGTGAGGGGGTCTTTTACACAACTGTTTAGTAAACATGCCCCTACTGACCCTATAGCGAGTAAGGGCAGAAGGGAGATTTTAATCTCCCTTAATTACTGATACTAAGTAATCTGTAATCAATGTTGGTCTTTCAGCCATTTAATAGATAGGCCCATAATTCCCACAGTATTATGGCGCTATCTACTAAGCAGTTGCAAGATGCAGCTGCAGCACAAACAAGATCAGAATTTCATTCATTCGAATATAGTGCTCATTCTGGTAGGACGAAATTCTGTAGTTTCGCCAGCATTTGAACGCCGAATGAAGCACAGGAGGAAGGTGAGTATTGTGGGAAAATTGCTTTGAACACCGGAAATGGAGAGGACTTTGTTCCTCCTCTGGGTCACAGCTGGGCAAGAGTATGAAAAATACATAGGACAAAATAGTCCCTACTTTGTCCTATGTTTTAAAGAAAACTAGATCAGACAGGAAGAAATGAAGAATACATTCTGAGAGAGAGAGAGAGAGAGAGAGAGAGAGAGAGAGAGAGAGAGAGAGAGAGAGAGAAAAAAAAAAGGAAAGGAAGCGATTGGGGTGGGTAAGTTCAGCATGACAGTGCCGCTTGAATAAGGTAATAATAAACTTTACTATGTAATACACCGGGGTCCAATAAGCAAGCATTACTATGTAATATAGTGCTACGTGTTAATAGGATATTACACCGGGGTCCAATAAGCATTACTATATAATACAGTGCTACGTGTTAATAGGATATTACACCGGGGTCCAATAAGCATTACTATATAATACAGTGCTACGTGTTAATAGGATATTACACCGGGGTCCAATAAGCAAGCATTACTATGTAATACAGTGCCACGTGTTAATAAGGTATTACACCAGGGCAGTGGTGTATCCCGGTTTTGTGCTGCCCTAGGCAGGGCAAAACTGAGGCGCCACCCCCACCCAACCCTCCCTCTCCCCACCCCGCATTCTAAATACACACACATTTTCACTGACAGAAACACATACTCTCTAACACACACACGCACACACTAGCAGACACAGTCAGACACACACACAAACAGACAAACACACTCACTCACATTAACACTCACTTTTTTTATTTTATTTTTTTAATTTAACCCCCCCAGCCTCCTTACCTTTAGGAATGCTGGGTGGGGGTGGGGGGGGGGGTCTCCCTCTCCCTGGGGCTGCTGGGCTGGCTGATGGGCTGGTTGCTGGGCGGGCGGCGCTGGTGAGGGAGCACGTTCCTCTGAGCTGTCTGCTCAGCTCCTTCGCAAGCCGCCCGCAGAGTGAGGCTGGGAGCCAGAATATAACGTCATGACAGCTCAGGGGAAAGTGCTCCCTCGCAAGGCTAACAAGACATTTGCCCTGGGCATTTGGGGGCGGCTTTTTTTTTGCCGCCCTCTGAAAAATGAAAATGGCTAAAACGTCCCTGCATACAGTGTGGCTCTAGCTGTACATTTATTTCTTTACGTTTTATTTCTCTCTCTTTGCAGTCCGACTGATGAATTTGACGTACACAACTCCTTCTGCAGTGTGATTCAAGATTTAGAACATGGAGGAGACATTGAACTACAACAGCTTGGCACAGGTGCAAGCCGGGAGCCGTATGCTTTGTGCATGAGCCGTAATGCAGATTTTAGATTACTTACATCGATTAGGCCGGGGGTTATCCATGGGGTGGTGACTTCTGGGTGTACACAGAGTTTATTAGCACCCCTGTGGGTGTGGTCTCACTAACCACTGTGCCTCCTCATTGAGGTTATACCAATGTATGTCTGTGAAGATGCTGAATGCCAGTGCTGCAAAAATGGCAGAACTTTAATAGGAAGTGCCCCTAGTGGCTGTTTTGAGTATCCATCATTGGTGGTGTGCTGAGGGATAAATGTACATTTAGACACAACTTCACAGCGCTCTGTGTGATGTCACTTCCCATTCCCGCTCCGCCTCCTCGCTCACACACAGTCTGTCCGCAGGGGCCTGGCGCATGTAGCCGCTTGCCCTCACATACCACGGATGCAGCCCAGGATTAGGGATGATAAAATGCTCTAACAATGTTTGAATCCATCTCTATTGTCCAGCAAGTCCATCCCGAGACGTGTTAGTAAATATTGATTTTTTTTTTTTAAAAGCGGGTTCTGTGGGCACGCTCATGACTAACGCGATTAACACATTGTGTGATATGCTGCTCATCCACATGGGAGTCGCAGGTCTGTCTTTTCAGCAGACGAGGTTATTGCGCAGAGACTGCTGCTCTCAGTGTTCAGACAGTGGAGATTGAGAGGATTTACCTGAAAACACAATTTCACGCTGAAAACAAAAGGTTCTCAAGTTGGCTCGGCAGATCTCGCTGCACGTTAGCAAACAGAGAATGTGCTGACATGTCAGAGCTGTATTATACACAAGTTCAGTTGACTTTCCAGTGTCTGAGTTACAGACCCTTTAGCCAAAACGGAGACTTTACTAATTCGTGCTACTGTGGCTTATTGACTAAAAAGTGCGTTTTAGTGAAAAAAAAAAAATAAATCTGATAAATTCAAAACTGAGATGGCGAATTTTTCCAAATCCACACACTTTTCCTAAATTGTGCAACTTGGCTTTCATTTCACGGTTTAGTAAATAAAGCCTTGAATCTCCCATTCTGTGTGTGAGCGGTCTTTGCTTGATTGCACCCCACCCAACATCACCCAATAATAACCATCTACTTGGTGAGCCCTCTTTATTCATACAGGCGTAACCGAACGTCGGTTTTGGCACAACACAACCGACTTATTTCAGTCTTGGCCTTTGTCCCCGACTACAAATATATACATTTGTGGTCAGAGCAATAAAGCTGTAATGGTTAGATAACATATACCGATAGCATAACATAACTTTTAAACACCAGTAAGTTGTTGTGTGCTGGAACCAACAATGTAGTAGGCCTGTAATAAGAGGGTGATGTGAAAAGAGGGAGTAGTGGGAGGGGAAACTCGTCAGACCAATATCTGTATGTGAGAGAGGATTGGAGGCCCTTTTAAAGGGGACCCCAAGACCCTCCCACAACTACAGGCCCAGTCTTGGGAAAAAAAAATAAATATATATATATATATATTATTTGTTCTTATAAATGTGAAAATATATAAATTGGCCACACTTTTCTCTAATAAAACATGTGAGCCCAGCAACTACAATGTCCGTTTCCTGCTTGTTACGTCTCTGCATTCAGAAAAACGCGTCGCCATTATCCACATTCACTAACATTACACACAGATACAGGGATGAAGTAACGGGACATTTTCAGGTACGGTGTGATAAAATGTACAATATACAAGCTGTACAGGGGAAATCACAAAATGTATCCATGGGCTGTCACTGGTATTTGTGTCATTTTTGTTCCTGTATGTTAGTTCTTGTGTTTGATTGTCTTGTTTTGATGTCTGAAAGGTGATGTGCAATATAGACCAGCTGAATATCAAGCGGCCACCTTGAAAATTCTGGCAGATATGCCAAGCCGGACAATTGGTAATTATCATTTATACCTACTTATGTTTTATGTTCGTTAAGAGGGAAACCAGCCCAGTTGCTCTATCAAGGGGCAGTCGTTACATTAATGGGCAGTCGCTCTATAAACGGGCAGTCGTTATATTCACGGACAGTCCCTATATTAATGCAGCAGTGACCTGTCTTCTAGTAGCATGACTGACCTGTGAATGTTTGGTGACTGTCTCTTTTTTTTTTTTTTTTTTTCATTCTCATTTCAGGCCGCTGCAGGGGAGCAACGCTTTGTGAGTACTACAACCGTACCGTGATAAAGCGACGATCCAAAAAAAGGCCATCCGTTTATAATTTACTGCGCTCCTCCAGGCCCAGCCTGCGGCACAGGGATGAGGTTACAGAGGGAGAAGAGGGTAAGCACAGAGGCTGAATGCAAAGATCAAAAACTGGAATTGCAAAGAGAGGTTGTAGGGGACCTTGGCATAGAATGAAGAGCAACTGATTAAAGGTCTCAGTTTTATATTTTTGAAGTGTATGTATGTGTGTGTGTATGTATGTTTGTATGTGTATATATGTATATCTCAAAATATAAAATCATTTGAAAAGCTTAGCTAAAAATATAAAATCGAGGACTTAGAGAAACATGCATTTTGAATGTTTTGAACAAAACCCGAATTGTCTCTGAAAGTCCCCAAGTTCTCTGCATGTTTTTTGATTGTAAGTCTCTCAACAGAGCAACAGCAGCTGCTGGTTTCGGAACTTCAGAAGACGTCGGGGGCCCAGAGGACACACTTACTAAAGAGCTTCCCTCTCAGTCTTCGTGTGAAGAGGCAGTTAAGGTGAGTATTCCGGAACTGACCAACTGTAGCCCCACACCCCAGTTCCAATTCTGAAGCCCCCGAGCCATACCCATACCAGTAGCACCCCTTACTATTCCGTTTTCTCCCAGGCACTTAACGACTGAAGGAAGCTGGAGGCAACAGAACGTGATCCCTTGCTGCAGCGGACTGCGAGACGACCTGAGCATGGTGAGACTGTGCACGTTGGCTGTCCTTTGTAACCGTGTAATGTAACTCCCTTTCTATCCCATTAAACAGTCCGACTGTCTTCTCTTGAGATACGCCTTAAGATGCACTGTCTTTCTCTCCAGGCAAATCATCAGTGTTGGTTGTCCTGTCTGTCTGCAATGTATGCGCTACGTCCATGGCAAAAATCGCTAAAACAGATCGGGGGACGCTTTGGTTCCAGCGTTCTTTCATACTTTGTCTTTCTAAAAACCCTTCTTGGATTCAACATCTTCATGTTCTTCTTGTGCGTTCTGTTCATTGTCACCCCACAAGCCGTGCACCCCCAGATGGACCTCAATCCACGATCGTTTGTTGGCCTGGAGCTACTCACTGGAGCTGTAAGTGTCCCTCACCATTTACAAAGGGCTTTCTGAGAAGAACTCCGATGTTTGGAAACATTTAGGTTAGAAACAAAAGTGTAAATAAACCTACTTTCAGGGCGTTAGAATCTTATTTAATGAATCTTTCACGGGCTTCATCAATCTCAGCCCAATAACTCACAGAATTAAAGGGCATCCTGTCAAACCAGGCTGGCAGTCTGACAGCCCAAAGTAGTCATGAGATGACCAGCATTAATACTCGGAGACAGCCCTGGATTTTCAGTTATCATGATCTGGGGCATAATCGGATAATAACTGGATCTTGTGTCGGAGTTTTGCAAGGACATTACCCCTAGCTTCCATTGTGTGGGGAAAATGTGTTACTGCTAATGTCGTAGCCCTATTGGTTATAATTTAGATTTGTCTTTTCTTAAAGGGTTACCATAAGCACCATAACCACTACAGCCCACTGCAATGATTATGGTCTCAGGAGTCCACTGGTGTGGCCTGACCTTAAACTCTTAACCTTTTAAGAATGTTCTGATGTTTACCGGTCAATCATGTGCCCACAGTCCTTTGGGTATTATCTTGTCAAGATGGGCTGATATTAGTGGTCTGAAAGTAATTCGCTGATTAGCCTGCACGTATATGATTTGACAATTTACTGAATGTCTCGACCAGGGGACTCCTGGCACCATAAATATTACAGCGCACACCATCAAAACTACAACTTACACCATCAACACTACAACTCCCACCACAAATACTTCAGCGCACTATAATGGTTATAATGCTTAGAGACACTAACTGCCTCTTTTCCTCCCTAGGGGTATTTCTCGAGCTCTGCTATGTATTACGGTTACTATAGCAACCTTACTCTGAATGATGAGTGTTCTGAATATAATTCCACCACGTGTCCGAACACCAAGACTTGGCTCCCTTACCAAATGCCACTAGCGTATCTATACACCATCGGTGCAGCTTTCCTCAGCACGTGCATTATCCTGGTCTACAGGTAGTTCTTTATTATGTTTCTTATATTTTACTTTTGTTTTCCTGTCTCATCCTATTCCCATTGCAGTAATTACCACTTTAACGCTCTGGCTCTAAACCACTACTGCGAGATAAAGGTTCACTAGCCTGGCCGATACATTGTGTTAAATAATTAGTCTTCTCGCGAATGTAACTCTGGCGTTTTTTTTTGTTTTTTTCATGTAATGTATCGAACCTAGAAGTATATTGCTGGCCTCCCAATCGTCCCAATTTTGGCTGGACAGTCAGGATTTTGGGGTCTTGTCCTGGGTTTGTTCTAACGCTTTTCATTACACGCTTGCGCTACGCTAAGGACACTAGGACCCTGCACACAAGGCTGACATGCCAGCTCTTGCAATAGACCGGCCCACATTCTGGGTCAGTCTGCCTCCTTTGGGCAGCCCAGTGTCACGATTCACATCCTATTGAGTGTATGCAGCTGTGTACATACATGCAAGGTTTATATTGTTGCAATGGAGACCCATTTCAAGTTATTAAACAAGTGGTACGTAACACAAGCAAAAATGAATGATTTCTCCTGTTGGATTTGTGGGGCCTCTATAGGTAACCTGTTCAATCTAAGTTTATAGCTGCCGTGCCGTCATTGACATCCAATCAAGTGATTGGAAGATTCTGGCACAGTCTGCGTTTTCTGCATAAACCGTGCATTTGGTGTTCTACACAAGTCATTCTATCAACATGAATTTTACACAATGCCTTAAATTGTTCCTAATCTGTCTCTTCCAGGATGTCTTGCTCTTTCGGAGACAGTTTTCGGATCGGTTATTTCTCGGGAGTTATGGCCCTTAAAGTTTTCAGTTCCTGGGATTTTAAAGTGACTCGGATTCAATCTGTGCAGAGACAGCGAGAAAATATCTACATGCAGCTAAAAGTAAGGAATACGATTAACTGTGTAATATCCATTTTCATTTCTACATCATGTACGAAGTTCCAATCCAACCATTTTCCAACAATCAATGTTACTGAAGTTAAAGAACAACTGCCGTGAAATATGAGGACAATTCCATTAAAACTAAACTTGAACCAACTCGAATGTGTCTCTAAGCACCAAAACAACTTTAATTAAAGAAGTGTTTTAGTGTATAATTGTGTCTCTGCTCCATTCTCAGCCGTTCACATACCTCCCAAGTGTCCCTGTTTAGGAATGACAGTCCCGGTTTAGGAATGACAGTCCCCGGTTTAGGAATGACAGTCCCCTGTTTAGGAATGACGGCCCCGGTTTAGGAATGACAGTCCCTGTTTAGGAATGACGGCCCCGGTTTAGGAATGACGGTCCCGGTTTAGGAATGACAGTCCCTGTTTAGGAATGACGGCCCCTGTTTAGGAACGACGGTCCCGGTTTAGGAACGACGGTCCCGGTTTAGGAACGACGGTCCCGGTTTAGGAACGACGGTCCCGGTTTAGGAACGACGGTCCCGGTTTAGGAATGAGGGGCTTAGGAATGACGGTCCCGGTTTAGGAATGACGATCCATGTTTAGGAACGACAGTCCCTCTTATTCTGTCCTAATGTCCCCAATTTTCTTTTCTTCTTTCTTGAAATCTGCAAACACTTTCCAGGGATAAAGTCTGTAACTGCTGGGAATTCAAAGTGAATTCTAAAAAAAGGCCAAAATAGAATTAACGTTTTCTCATTTCTGACTATTTTGGCCTAAATTTGAATCCACAGCAATTCTCTCTTTAGTAAATAACCCTGTTGTGTTTCAGTAGCTTGAAGACCGAACTCAGAATGTTTCACTTTCGTTCTCGCGCGCGATAAGTGGACATTGCGTCCTGGCGAGGGAGCAAAGTCCCCTCTAATTGTGCGCAACACATTCAGAGAAATATCCTCGTGGACACTCTCCTAGACATCTGTACATACCCGTATATGCAGAATAGAAATCTTAAACACATATTTACAGACACATAAGTACACATAGTATACAAGCCCATTCTATGTGCATATTGACTTATACCCCCACAAACATTTACATATAGACACACACCTAGTGCAATGTTAACTACATCAAAGGCACCCTGACTTTCCCTGAACACCCACACTTTTACACACATTCACACCAGCCCTTAATATACTTTTATACACCCTGCATTCCTCTATTCACTGGTCCATGTTTCGTTTACACACAACCATCCACGTATACACCTATGGACCGACTCACAAGCATTCACACACAACACACTTACCCACCCTCCCTTCACAAACGCATGCACTGACCCTCTACACAGATATATTACTGCATTCATATACACAACTCCAGTAACACACACAATGACACTCAATGCCGCGAACAAAAATAGAATAATATAACGAAAAACAAGTTTCTGCAAATATTTGTGGTGGCAAGTAACTTTTGAAGCGTGGCTAGTGGGTTATAAAGTGCCATTTTGAGACCTGGCATAAAGGGACTAATCAAATTGTGTCTGTAAAATAGAACTCTGAGTGTAATAAGTATATAATTGTTAGGAACCTGAAAAGCTCATTAATTGTGTGTGTGTGTGTGTGTAGACCACGTCATGAAATAGCCGTTTTCTCCCCGTACCAGGAGATGCTGTGCGAGGACACCCAACATCCCCATTACATCAGGAAGCGGCTGCAGAGTGTCTGTGTCCACGTTTTCTCCTGGAGCCTGTGTCTTTGTAGCTGGCTGGGGTCTGCGGTGGCTGTGTTCATCTTGTCTGAACAACTGCACAAGGTTCGTCAACGCCGGGGGGGAAGGGAACTATCTGGATGTGAGAGGGGGCAATAAACTTAGACGGGGCAATAAAAGCAGCACAGGTGGAGGTCCTGGGAACGATTAAAAGGACAAACAGTAACAGAAATCCCCTGGTATGCTCTACCTGTGCATGTATTCCTCTAGCCCTTCGTGTCTGTGTGTCTGTCTATCCTACCTGTCTGTCTATCTCTCCTGTCTACCCTCCCACAAAAGGAAGGGAGGGGGAATATAAATATTCTTCCAAAGTTCTGCTTGTTTGTCAGCTGGGGTTGTGAGTTAGCCCATATTTCAAGGCGTGCCGTACAGCTATTAACATCTATTGCCACGACAGACCGTGTCAATAAAAAGAACTACCTTCCATCAAAATATATTGCAATAGAGAAGATGGTTTATTAGAATTATTGAATTTTGGGGGAATTTAGTGAAAAGCTCACACATTGTATTCACCACTATCGATCGCCATTGTAATTGTTTATATTAGTGACCTGGTAAAATATTATCACGAGTCTACAAATCCTAAATTCTACACTAAATTAGTTTGTTTGCTGTAAGTTGAAATACAATATCTCTATATTATTTAAAGCTATACAGACTCATTGTAGTTTGGATTAAACCGTATTACTGTGTGACCACCTTCCTCCACGTGTGACCTCTATAGTGTTCATGTGTTTATAAGAACAGTCTGGATATTTTACCTTTTTAGGAGACCTTTTGGCATAGGACTCCGTTATGAGGTTTCCCTGATTGTTGGTAGGTGAGCTTACACGTTGGCATTTAGAGTGGTTCTACAATCTGTTATTTAAATGTACCCCGGGGTACGAGATAGTGTGCAGGAAGCTACACCCTAGGTATTCTGTTCACGTTGAAATACAGGAAGCGAGGTGGTTATACTATAAAGTCTACCATAGAGAGTCTTTCAGGGAGAGACAAGACTACAAAGAAGCCGGGGTGGTATAGTGAGCTGGAGGTCAGGGCAAGAAAGGAGAAGCTCAGGTATGATTTATATGGTAAATGGTGGTTGGTGCTTTACTTACAGGATCACCGTGTAAGGCTGAGGACGAGGGGGGAGCAAGAGGTGGAGGCAATGCTTTTACCACTACCACTAGCAGTGTCCATATGTAACCTTTTCCTGCCCTACATATACCATGGCCTTGGACTGTGGGAAAAACTCAGCTCCCCTATGCTGGAGGTCTATGTCGCTATCTGCAGGTATGGACATGGAAGCCTCATCGTATTGTGATTTTCCCCCCAACACTCACACTCTTCTACAGTGTGTTTTATCAAGCCTCCTGTTTCACCCCATATCTTCTGACACTGTTCTCCTGCTTCAGGAACCTTATTCTGAAGATAGTCATCCTTGGCGTATTGTGCTACCACTGGTTGAGTCGAAAGGCGAACTATATGGAGAACAAGGTGAATCAAATTCCCCGTTTACTATGGAATGAATGTCACATCAAACTAACTCTGACAATTATACAGTATTGCGTCCTACATCCTTGTATGTTATCTTGTCATGGTGCAAGAACGAGCCAGATGTAGGCCAGTGAATATAAGGGGAGAAGATGCATCCCTGTGTCCTTCAAATATACCCCTTCTTACAGTTTCTAATTTCTCTGTTTATTTATTTCCATTTTGCAGACACTCCCCAATAGTTCTATTTGGCATTAGCAGCATAAGACCTTTATGAAGATATTACGAAGACCTTTAGAATAAGTTTATTAAACTTGCTGTAATTTATCTAGCTCATGACCGTACCAACTTTTTAGCTGCTAGTTTCTTCCTCCTCAAATGTCCCTGTTCTCAGTCTGAAAACTCTGTTTTTCACGCAGTGCTGGGAGACCTTTGTTGGGCAGGAGCTATATCGGTTTGTAATAATGGATCTGGTGTTTACGCTGCTGGACACTGTTTTTGGGGAGCTGCTGTGGAGGTAAGTCACTGTGTTTGTTCAGTCCGTGGCGGTGCTAGTAACCCATCGCGTGTCAATCCTCTTCACTCCCTTTATTCTCTGTGGCAGGATCATCCTGGAGAGGAGACATAGACAGAAGCGCAGGACAGAGTTTGACATTGCGCGGAATGTCCTGGAATTGATATATGGGCAGACCTTAGCATGGTGAGTTTGTTACATTGTTACCCATTTGGGAGCAATCTGTGGCAAAGTTCTAAAAGGGGGATATTCCATTGGTTTCCATGGCGGTAGCTCTTTTAGAATTTTTCCCCAGAATAGACCTTGATAAATATACACCTCACTCAGCTTGTGTAATGTGGGATTTCACATTTATCCAGAACTGTCTCATTCTCTGCGTGCTAAACATAGTTTTATTGGATAAAATTAATATGGAAATTGATCGGCCTCGTGCTTTGTAGGGTACTTAAGATTTGTATTTATTTAAAGAACATTTAAACTTTTTATAATTTATTTATAATGTTAGTGTTTCTTTTAACATTTATATCCAGCCCACCTGCTATAGAAATATATAAACTGCCTTTTTATCCAGTGCTGTCATTGAGATGCTCTGTAGTCAGAACTCCTAGATAAGTAAATGTAGCGCTTCTCATGTTATCCAAACGTGAGATCAATTATCAGTGTTCTATCCATGATGACGCCACAGGTGAAGACTATCAAAGGTCTTCTTCATGAGGTACTGTCTCTTGTGGCCGAAAGCATGTCCTCTTACAGAAGTAAACATCGCTGTTTCTCATAAATGGCAGTTATTCTATTTGTCAGACTGCAGAGATAGGGTCTTGGCACCAAAACCACTACTAGCATTTTATAGAATGCCAACAGATTCCTAAATAATTTACAATTGTAAAATGTGGATATCTGACAACAGGTAATTTACACACAGACTAGAGCAGAGACGAGGTGAAAAAGGCCCTGCTCAAACGTTGTGTAGCGTTTTTTGTGCTTAATGTCCCTTTAAGGATACCTCCATTATATATTTCTTTGCTAACCACAAGACGGTGCTACTTCAGATAATATTGTAGGATAACCTGATCGGTTCTGGATCTAATCTAACCATCGTACGGCCATGTTTTTACCTTTTGGATCTAATAGCTGTAAGACACAAGCTTCCACACACTTACACTGTAGCCCAGGGACAGCCAAGAGCCAGACTGCCAACTGTGAGTAGAACTACAAGCCCCACAATGTGTGAGAGCGCGGGGAGTTGTGATCGTTTAACAGGCAGGGGTCCAACATATTGAGCACCTCTGGTTAAGTCCTTTTACTGCCTCCCCCTCGACATTTTCTCTGCTTTTTAAATTTTAATAAATAAATAGTAGAATTAAATCATCTCTGCCCCTCTTGTTTTGTGTCCATTGAAGGCTCGGAGTCCTCTTCTGTCCGCTCCTTCCAGCTGTCCAGATTATCAAGCTTTTACTGTTATTTTACGTAAAGAAGGTGAGATTTGTGATCTTATTATAAATTAATATAATGCAGTCACAGTGCATTATGTCTGCTGTGGGTTTTTTTTCTCAGATACTTTGACAGTTGGGTAGCTCACTATGTATCTGGTCTATGTGGATCAATATACAAGCCAGACATTTATCATTTTCTTTCTTTATTTGAGGGTATTTCTTTAACTTGATGCACCAGTTCTATAATCCGATGCCTCTCTTCATTGGACAGCGATTGTTTACTGACTCTTACTCATTTGTTCCAGAAAACATTTAAAGATCTAGGCACAGAACTGCCGTTTCCAAGAATTGATACTTTGTTAGTATTCTAGGATTACTGTTAGACGTGTCATTTATTAGCCGTTTATCTCCTAGCAATGTGTGGCCTCCATGTGGGAGCAGTTTAGTCTTTAGATAGGGTCACAGTGTGGTTGGACTGCATACTATTCATGTTTTCTTTGTAACAGGCCAGCCTGATGACGAACTGCCGCTCCCCAAAAAAGCCCTGGAGGGCTTCTCACATGAATACAATATTTCTTACCCTCCTCTGCTTCCCCTCCTTCCTGGGAGCCGCTGTGTTCCTCTCCTACACTGTGTGGTCGTAAGTAGCATGTACAAACACGCGAAAATCACCAATATCGGCCTTGAAATGGCAGAATGGAGACTGTGGGGTTTGTTTGCTAAACTGGGGAATAAATTAAACAGGGAAACGCACATTTTATGCTAAAAGATTGGAATTGGAAAGTTGTTTTTTTTTTTTCCCCAGCTTAAAATGCAGTTTCTTTGTCAATCCACCACAATCCCCGGTTTAGTGAATAAAGTCATGTGAATGAAGAATATCGATCAGTTCTTGTATAGCGCCCGTATCCAGGGAATCGGTGTACTTACACACAGGCAGACTGTCAACCCTTCTATACAGACTGTGAGCTTACAATCTAACGGGAAAATAAAACACATGGTAACAACGGCGTGACGAAACACTTCTCACATTCCTCCCACAAATAATATCTTACGGAAACGTAACCTAACTAGTTAAAACTGCACTGTAGTGTTAGGAATACATGTTTGTATTCTTATCGCTATCGTGTCCCTTTAAACAGAGGTTTCCCCTCACCCTGGACCACTTCCTCCAGTTAGATTGCCTCTTGCTAGGCTAAGGCACCCAGGAGGCCAATGAGGCCCCAATCTGAAGGTGTATTTTTATTTATTTTTTTCTAGTTACTAGCCTCTTAGAAGTCACGACAGCTGGAACACCACCTGCTGGCTGACCCTGGTATTGAAAGCCAGTTTCTGTGTATGAATTTGTTTTGTTTTTTAAATCCCTTCCAGTGGAGACAATCAATGGTAGAACATGAAATGGGGCTTGGAGTGCTCCTTAAAACTATCCAACAACTCCATTCGAGATGTAACCACATTATTCACTAAAGTGAGAATTCAAAGTAAATTTCAAATTTTAGACCAAATTAGAAGCATGGCTGACAGATATTTTTTCCAGTTCGGCTATTTTGGCCTTAAATGTGAAATAAACGGTGAATTCCCCCTTAGGCATGTTACGTCCGTAGCAAGTGTTCAGGGGATTTCAATCCCATTTGGAACTGTGGTTAGGGAGGCCTATATAAGCGTAACGGAGAACCTATATTGATATTTGTATAGATTTACGGAGTAGTGGTATCTCGGTGATCCCTTGAGAAATACAAAGTTTGGAAGATTCTGGAGAGACCATTAAACTAATGGCTGAATATAGACTAGAGATGGAGGGAAGGCTGTGATAGAAGGTATGAGACTGTCCAGTGGGTTTAAATGTGTAATGGTGGAGGTAGTATGTTTTAGGAGTACAAATGGCTATGTTAATGGGGGAGGTTGAATTGTAAATGCATTCTTTGTAGATCAGCCAGTAGTAAGGAGCTCCTTATTGTGTGGACCATCCTAATGACATAGGACAACGGGTCAAATCCAAAGAAACATGTGCTTCCCAAGTATCCAGTTAGAATGTGTTAGCAGGGGTGGCCAGAGTGGCCATAAAATAGCCCCCAGCTGTTGCCCATGACAAGGAAAGCTTCATGGAACTTGTAATAGGATTACTGTTTGACCCTTCCTACAGCTCAACGTGGAGGCTTTAAAACATTGATTAATCTTGGTCTCTTCACGTATCTATACTTCCACCCTTGCCTCTGTCTAATTGTTCTTACCTTAGTGACCAGCTTGCTCCATCTCTCATCCTTAGGGTGAAACCCTCAAACTCCTGTGGTCCATTTCGCTCTCTCGGAACCATGTCTGAGGCTGGAAAATATTATGTTCAGCTGTTGGGGAAGACCAACCCAAAACTAAGCTGGATAAACTGGATCCATCACTACCTCTGGGAGAACACCTTCTTCATTTACTTGGCAACAGGAGTCCTGCTGTGAGTTACAGAGAGGAGAGATTTCTTAAAGGGAAACTATAGTGTAAAATGTATATTCTGGGTGAGAACCAGATGGCTCTGCTGTTAAATGAGGAAACGAGAATATCTGAGACTTGGCTTCCAATGTTACTATCACAACAGAGGACTCCATAACAATGTGTGAAATGTTCCTCGTTGAAACGTTCTAGTTTCTCTTGACATTTTGTTGATGTCGTACGTTTCCATGACCAGTAATACTCCAATTAATACTAAAACCCCTGCAAGTTTTTAGTTTGCGTTGGTGGCATCTACAGATACCATGAGATGTCAAATCGAGTAACAGACGAGGTTAAGAGTTCTCTGTTTCTTCCCAGGGTTGTGATTTACTTCCATATTCAAATTGTAAATGGACAGCGGAAGATAATAAAATTATTAAAGGAGCAAATTTCAAACGTAAGTATTTTTCATGTTTTTTTTTATTGTATGTGGTTTGTGCCAACCAACAATTTACCGTCATAGTTTAACTTGCTTTATTTTACCACTCTCTTTCATGTTTTATGGGTTCAATGATCTCCTGGTCCGAACCCACAGTTTTGGTCACATATAATAGCTTTTACATCCTAATGTTCACAGGAAGGAGAAGACAAACGCTTCTTAATCTCGAAACTTCATTCAGTTTATGAGAAGAAGAGCAGAGGCCCTGGGAGACGTCAAGCAATGCTACAAAAGGTGAGGATCGTACTGCAGGCCAAAATGACCTACTACCTTGTGTGTCTACGTTTGCAGCTTATCTTCAGAACCCACGTTAAATCCTGTGTGTTTGAGTGCCCTTTCCTCTTGCGAGTACCATAAACGGTATTGTTATAGGCAGCTGCGCAGACTCTGGGTGTTCAATCGCATTGCCTGCTGTTTATGGTTATTTATTGTGTATTTGCAGCAAAATATTGCCACTGGAAAGATCTGATCTGGATATCTCAACCCCCCCAAATGCTCAACTAACACTGGATGACAGACCCCTGACATGTGCCAAAGACCTGACACTGTGATAGTGGAAAGGACATTACACTTTCTAAAACCACTTTTTATACTTGTATATTTATCTAATAAAACTACTAAACAATTTTGCCTCCGTCACTAATTAAACATGTTGAAATTTGAAGTGTATGGATATAGCTGGAACGCTTACACTGACATGTGTACATCGTGATCTGCAGGTGAGAGAATGGCAAGGACTATGACAACATACAGACAAACCATTGCATATGAAGGAACGTCCTGCAGACACCGCGTTTGAACGAATCACCAGCATGTTCTCCTTCTGTGCTAGACATCATGCCAAGCGAGCCCTGGCCATCAATACTCTTACTCTAAAGCTGGCTTATCTGTGAGAAACACCCATAGAGAGGATTATTCACTAAAGTGTGAATTGACAGAAATTTTAAATTAATTCAAACTGAATTTAACGTGTTAGGCCAAAATATCATATCGAATTTTATATATATATTTTTTTCCTTTCACGCTAGCCATGTTTTCACTTTGTCTGTCTTGTTGTAAAAACTCAGTTAGAATTCCCATTTTACTAAATAATGTGCATTTAAAGTATGTATCCAAACACACAATAGATAAAACGTATAATTACTGGGGTTACTTCCCCCACTTCTGTTTTCGTTCTTGAGGTGGTAACGAACAGGTAGCACCCCTTTATTGTATTACTAAATCTTCCTTGCATCTTATTACTCTCTCTGAAATCTGAGCCCCAAGATTCAGCTGGAGACAATGTGAGGCTGACAAATCTGACTCTTCCTGGTCTCTTCCAGAGCTGCCTGTAAGCGCTGTGAAATTAGTTGGTGCTTTATAAATAATAACTATTTGACCAACTGCTTCACAATCTGCCCGATGTATCGTCTACATACTATAATGTCCCTCTTCCATCCAGTGCCTTCACCGTCTGTCTCCAAACCTCCGACATTACCCCTTCTGCATCAGTATTTATCTTTGTGTATTTTATATATTTTATAATCTTGGCATGTTACCTCCTAAATGCTGCCAGGGTTTATTAGCTAAACACAGAATTGTAACCCCCCCGCCCAATGTGCCTGACACTCTCTGAGGTTCAGCTACTAAACATCAAATTGTAGAAAACTGAACTGCAAAATGGCTATAGGGTCAGGAACATAAACTTGTATTCCTTAGCCTATTCACCACCTACCCCCCCCCCTCCCCCGCCCACCATTGCCCACCTAAATATAGTAAATTATTACTTTTATTCAAGTCTGCTGCCCCTGATCTGCCTCCTTGGCTGATATCACTTCTGAGTGGTGATCTCTTAGTTTATTTACATATGAGGTGAAAGAAGAAGAGCACAGTCAATGTTTCAGACCCAGAACAGTCACACCCTGAGTAAATATGACATTAGTACTGTATTTTGATATTAATAAATAAATATTTGTGTACGGGGTAATAATAGGACGTATAATTAAAATTATGTGATTCAATTAGAACAAAAGTCGGTTGAGGATTGCTGAAACAGATCCCCATCCTGCACTGTCATTGGCCGGCTCTGTGTGTTCTATCCCATCCTGCACTGCCATTGGCTGGCTCTGTGTGTTCTATCCCATCCTGCACTGCCATTGGCTGGCTCTGTGTGTTCTATCCCATCCTGCACTGCCAGCGCTCTGTGTGTTCTATCCCATCCTGCACTGCCATTGGCCGGCTCTGTGTGTTCTATCCCATCCTGCACTGCCATTGGCCGGCACTGTGTGTTCTATCCCATCCTGCACTGCCATTGGCCGGCTCTGTGTGTTCTATCCCCATCCTGCACTGCCATTGGCCGGCTCTGTGTGTTCTATCCCATCCTGCACTGCCATTGGCTGGCTCTGTGTGTTCTATCCCATCCTGCACTGCCATTGG